GCGCAGTTTCTGACGCGCCGAAATCGAGGCCGCGATCGGCTCAAAGCGCGCCCGAAGTCCTGCGCACCACGCATCCCACGTGCTGTATTGGGCGGTTTCGCAGAATGAACTCCAGGTAACAGATGGACCCGAGGGTTTAGGGTTGTTAAACGTGCCATGTCGGGCACGAACCGTCGAACGTAATTAACAAAACCTAAAAAACTCTGCAGTTCCGTGATGTTCGTCGGGGGGCGCCACGCTTTTACCGTGTCCAGCTTCTTTGGGTCAATCTCAACCCCAGCCTTCGAAATGACGTGACCCAAAAACTCTAGCCTGTCCCGAAAAAACTCGCACTTGGAGCCCTTGGTGAGTAGTCGATGTTCCTCCAAAATTTTAAAAACTGCTTCAAGATCCACTAAGTGCTGCTGCTTATCCCGGCTGTAAACTAGAATATCGTCCAGGTAAACTATCACGCATTTATCTAAAAGTGGTCTAAACGCCTCGTTCATGGTCATCTGAAATGTCGCGGGCGCGTTCGTCAGCCCGAATGGCATTACTGTATACTCGAATGACCCGTGCCTAGTCCTAAATGCTGTTTTGGCGCAGTCCAATGGTTCGACCCGAATCTGATGGTAACCTCCCCGTAAATCTATTTTGGAAAAGACTCGTGCTGTTCGCAGTTGGTCGATCAGTTCGTCGGCGCGGGGGATGGGGTATCGCGATTTGACTGTTACCCTGTTAAGCGCTCGGTAGTCGATGCACATGCGGAACCCTCCGTCTTTTTTCTGTGTGAACAGTATCGGTGCGGCGAACGGTGACGAACTCTGACGGATAAACTGCTTCTCTAACAGGTAATCTAACTGCTTCCTTAACTCGTCAAACTCGGGCTGTGTCAGTCGAAATTGCCGCTGTACAGTTGGCTGTGCCCCCGGTTCTAACTCGATCCTATGGTCGTGCGCCCGCTGAGGTGGCATTCCCTGTGGTAAATCATCCGGAAATATCCCCGGGAACTGTTTCAGTAGTGCCTGTAGTTCGGTCGGTACAGTTGCCAGCAGTTTCTCCAAATCACTCGGCTGCTCATCTTTTTCTACGAGTGCGATATCCACTGCGTACACGTCAGCTCCAGCAGCGACAGCCCGTTTCATCGTGATGGCGTTGACCTGGACCGTCGAAGATTTGGGTGTCTGCCAGCGAGGTAGAACGACCCAATTACCACTACTTAGCACTGTGCAGCTCCCCGTCGTCCAGCCGATCCGTGGGTTGTACCGTCGCAGCCAATCACGTCCCAATAAAATGTCGTGCCCATCCAGTGTCGTCGCGAGCATTTCCTGTGTAAACCCGAAGTTCCCCCCGCAGCGGACTTTTACGCGCTCCACCTTTTCCCGTATGGCCAGGGGCGTGCCGTCGACTAAGCGTGCATCTATCTCAGGTAAACATCGGTTAAGCGTTAACTGTAATTTTCGTGCGGTTGCGGTATTAACTAAGCTGTGGCTTGCTCCTCCGTCAATGAAGATCTTCACTGCTGCTCCCTGTACTTTCCCGTAGATCAGTACCGGGCAATCCGTCGCTGTACCCTCCTTATTCATCCGAGCCCGATCGATGGCGTGAATCGGTACTGTGACTCGGTGAGGGTCGGTGTGGTTGGGCGAGCAGGCAGTCTCATCAGTAGTTGGCCCAACTTCTACTGACTGCTGGCGTTTCCCTGCCTCCGAGACTCCCTCCCCTGCTCTGCTCCTCGACGCCTCAGCTTCTCTGGACATTCGCTCTTGCGATGGCCCAGCCGGTTCCAAGCAAAGCAGCGCCCTCTAAACGGCGCGGCAGCTGCATTCGCTGCGACGGCATGTACCGTGGCGTGCTCGGTCGGTCCCCGAGGACGATGTCCGTAATAGTCGGCGTAGGATATCGATTTTCTCGGCGAGCGCGAGGATCTCGTTGAAATTCGAGAGCCCGCGTAGCATTATCTCGTGCGAGATGTCCGGCTTCAGCCCTCCGACGTAACGGTCCACCCGCTCTACCTCGTGCATGTAGCCGACCTGTTCGCAAAGTGCGAGAAAACCGCTGGTGTAGTCTTGAACTGACCCGAGCTGGCGCCAAGTGCGCAGTTTCTGACGCGCCGAAATCGAGGCCGCGATCGGCTCAAAGCGCGCCCGAAGTCCTGCGCACCACGCATCCCACGTGCTGTATTGGGCGGTTTCGCAGAACGAACTCCAGGTAACAGATGGACCCGAGGGCCCTTCCTCGTGCGACGGTGGCTCGTAGGCGCGCGGCGACGTCACAATGACTCGCCACCAGTCCATGGCGGGGCCCCTGAGTAGTGAAACCGCATACCGGATCTTGGCGGCGTCCGACTCGGCGTAGTTGGCGTCGAAAAACACATTCATCGTGAAGACCCACGATTGAACTGTCGGGCCGCCGCGTTGGCTTGGGTCGAAGCAGGGCGGGCGTTGCGGCTTGAGTGGCATTGGGGCCATCATGGCATTCTCGCCACTTGTCGCCGCAAACTCCACGTGCCGACGGGCTTCTCGGGGCTCCTGTGGGCTTAATACGCTCCTGTTCCCTCCCATGCCGGGCATCGGTTGGGCTGCGCCGTCACTGGCTGCGCCTGAGCGCTGTCCCGTGCTGTTGTGTTGCGTTGGTGTGCCGGATGAGATGACGATGGGCTCCTCCAAATGTGCAGATGCATTGGTTTGTGCGTGTGATGTCGTCGGTACGTTCACCGTTGACTGTTGACGGGCGGAGTCACGTTCCGCCGTGAGAGTCGCGATTTCGAGCGCCGAATCTTCCAATTGACGCACGAGACGATCGAGTTGCTCCTGCGTCAACGTGGCGAGATTGAAATCGGCCATGGCAGGGGTGTCGGGCAAGCTCAGCGAGAGCCTCGGTCGTGGCCGTGTGTGCTTTCGAGAGAGCACTACGAGCGGCGGTGCTGTGTCGCTGAGAGACGTCTACCCCCCCCAAAAATTGAGATAGTGGGAAGCAAGGTGTGGATGCGGTCCGAGATGAGATCGTAGGCTCTGAATACCAAGTGTTACGAGTGCAATTGAGTGAACGAACGAGAATTGCACTATCGAAGCAAGAATACAATGAGCGAAGGCATGAGCGAAGGATTATATAGCGAAACTACAGTGGTAACGGTAATGGACTGTGGTTGTCGCGCGACGGGCCTGGGACTGAGGTTGGGAAAAGTGTCGAGGCGGAGGTCCGGAGCGCGGGTTACCGCCGAGCCGTGAGGTCGGGGTGCGACATGCGAAAAATGGCGGGCGGATTATTGATGCGAGTGGTAACGGTGCTGACTGAGGTGCTACAGTGATGTACGCGTTGAGCGGGGATGCGAAGTAAGGAAAAGGAATTTTCCTTACAAGATTACTAGAAACACATCTGCAAAACTGAATGACAATATACGAGGGTCTGAGAAATATAAAATCATTTTGCAGCGTCACTCAACAACAAACCAACGGTTTTCAAAACAGCAAACGCAAGCTACGCAACTCTTCCGACGTTAACGTCGAGTCTTGTTCTAGGTTGACTGATGATGCTGTTTCACTCTGGAGGTGACTGGAAAGCGCTCGCTACCTTCGCTGAATAGTAAAGATAATAGGAAAGGCTGACAATTCGATTGTGAGCTGTTGCTGACTTTAGGCCGGAATGGCAATTTATGTTCGAGAGTTGACAATGTGGTACAGTAGTTAGATACTCTTGAGTCGCGGTCCTGTACGGTCCTGCCCGCCTGATTCCGCGGCATGGTTCAACCTGACAGTTACTAAAAGCTGTGTGACTTCAAGCATATGCTGGGCTTAGGATAATACTATGCGATTCGAGGCAACCAGCAATAAGATTGGAATCACTTATGAATGACGAAAAGCTATTAGGTGTACCAGTCATCAGTTACGAACGAAGTTAGCATCGAGTCGCTTCTTAAAGCGCCTAGAATTTTGACACAACCACCACCCGCCAGCCCTAGTATCACTCTTGTTTAGGCGCTCGAAGCGCGCGAGGCGTAGGGGGCTTGTTTTGTCGCTTTTACGCCATCACTTCTAGTAGTAGGCCGCCCGTCGCCACTTAAGTTTATTAGTAACGGCTTTTCTAGCCCACGCGGGAAGACTAGTAGCGGTTTTTCCAGCCCACGCGGAAAGCCTAAGGGTTCGCGACTATCCGGTTTCGATGGTTCTGGCGGTTCTGGCCTCATAGCTTTCTCTTATAAGGAGCTATCGGCGGCTACTAATAAGTTCCAATCGAGCCGCGTTTTGGGGGAAGGAAGCTTTGGAAAAGTTTACCGGGGGAAGTTGTCTGGATTAGGAGCTGAAGATTGGCAGGATAGTAACGGGGATGACAGTAAAGCAAATGTTACTAACGCGGCTGATGATAAGGGGGATGGTGGCAAAGCGAAAGGCAGTAAAGCGGATAGTAAGATGGAGGTGGCGATTAAAGTGCTTCACGAGGAGAGCGTTCAAGGAATGACAGAGTGGATGGTGAGTGTCTCGAAGGGCTAGTAACGGGGATGATTCATAGTGAATGTCGTTGGTCAGACGAAGAAATTTAAGTCTGCAGTGAACCTCGTTTGGGATCTTTTCCCTTCCCCTTCCGATGTATCACTTGTTAGGCCGCAGGCCGAAATTCTGCTGCTGGGGAGGCTGAACGCCCGAATTTGGTTTTTGAGGCGCCTCAAAAGCTGCTGGGGAGGCTGAACGCCCGAATTTGGTGAATTTGATCGGAAACTTTGTCCCTTATCGTGCTCCCGTTATATGATGTGATTTTGTTACCTCGCAGGCCGAGCTTCTGCTGCTGGGAAGGCTGAAACACCCCAACTTGGTGAATCTGATCGGATACTGTTCCCAGAAGAACCAGGCGATGCTGGTGTATGCACTGATGCCGCATGGGGGGCTGGATACATGGTTACTGCAAGGTGTGCAGGGCACAGACACAAACACACACGCACACACGCACACGCGCTCACACGCACATAGGCATATGTGGTTGCTCTCAGAAGAACCAGGCGATGCTGGTGTATGCACTGATGCCGCATGGGGGGCTGGACACATGGTTACTGCAAGGTGAGGCATGCTGCATGCCCACACACACACGCACACGCGCTCACACGCACATAGGCAGATGTGGTTGCTCGCAGTAGAACCAGGCGATGCTGGTGTATGCGCTGATGCCGCATGGGGCTGGCTGGATACATGGCGCATGCAAGGTGGGGCACGCATCATGCACATGCACTCACCCACACGTGCATTCCTGTCCCCCACCCACCCTATCCCCTCCTTTCTTACCACCCTACCATCTCCTCCCTTTCCCCCACTCTCCCACCTCCCCTCCCCTCACCTCACGATCTCCGTTGTCCTTCTCCCTCCCCCCTTTTGCCCGCCCTCCCACTCAACCCCCGATCCTCTCATTCCCCCTCTCCCCAGCTCCTCACCCCACCTCTCATTCTCTCTCACACAACCTCTAGTCTTCCCTCCCCCCCATCCTCGCATCTTTTCTCTCTCCTCTCATCCACCCTCATCCTCCTATCAACCCCCGCCACGTCACAGACTCGCCCCGCCCTGTGCTGACGTGGCAGCAGAGAATACGGATCGCTGTGGGGGCAGCACAGGGCCTGGCTTACCTGCACGGTTCAAACATCATTCACCGGGATCTCAAGTCGTGCAATATCCTCTTAGACCAGGTGAGAATACCTGAAGTGCTTGACAGTAAGCATGAGATGAGATTGGGTAGTTACTGGAGCCAGTTGGGGGCAGGGGGCAGCACAGGGCCTGGCATATCTGCACAGGTCGAAAATCATTCACCGAGACCTCAAGTTGTGCAATATTTTGTTAGACCAGGTACGCCTACTCAGTTGGGTGGGTATTGGAAGTGTGTGTGCTGCTGGGAGCAGCTGGGATCAGCAGAGGGCAGCAGAGGATTCAGATCGCTGTGGGGGCACCACAGGGCCTGGCGTATCTGCACGGGGCGACCATCATTCACCGGGACCTCAAGCCGTGCAACATCTTCTTGGATCAGGTGAGACTACCTGACGTGCTTGACAGTAAGCATGAGACTGGGTGGTACTGGGGGCAGCTGGTGGTAGCAGTGCAGCAGCACAGAGCCTGGCGTATCTACACGGGGCGACCATCATTCACCGGGACCTCAAGTTGTGCAATATTTTGTTAGACCAGGTACGCCTACTCAGTTGGGTGGGTATTGGAAGTGTGTGTGCTGCTGGGAGCAGCTGGGATCAGCAGAGGGCAGCAGAGGATTCAGATCGCTGTGGGGGCACCACAGGGCCTGGCGTATCTGCACGGGGCGACCATCATTCACCGGGACCTCAAGTCGTGCAACATCTTCTTGGATCAGGTGAGACTACCTGACGTGCTTGACAGTAAGCATGAGACTGGGTGGTACTGGGGGCAGCTGGTGGTAGCAGTGCAGCAGCACAGAGCCTGGCGTATCTACACGGGGCGACCATCATTCACCGGGACCTCAAGTCGTGCAACATGTTGTTAGACCAGGTATGCCTACTTGATCTGGTGGGTAGTGGGAGTGTGTGTGTTGCGGGGGGCAGCTGGGGTCAGCAGAGGGCAGCAGAGGATCTCAAGTCGTGACTTTTGGGTCGACTCAAAAGTCACCTCAGAGGGCAGCAGAGGATCTCAAGTCGTGACTTTTGGGTCGACTCATAAGTCACCTCAGAGGGCAGCAGAGGATCTCAAGTCGTGACTTTTGGGTCGACTCAAAAGTCACCTCAGAGGGCAGCAGAGGATCTCAAGTCGTGCAACATCCTGCTGGATGGACTTTTGGGTCGACTCAAAAGTCACCTCAGAGGGCAGGATTGCACCCTTGGGAGCGCCATCTTGATCGAGACGTCTCATGTTCAATCAACTCAACACTCGATTTTTTAGGCGCCTCAAAAATCGCCTCAACTCGTGCAACATCCTGCTGGATCAGGTGCGCCAACTTGATCAAGACGTTTCATGTTCAATCAGCACTCCCATCCCTCTACCCTCCTCCCTCCCTTCCTGCCTCCCTTCCGTTTCCCCTTCCCGCTGTGCATCCATGCCAGACTGAAAGACTTCTGGCTGTCAGCATGTGCTTTCCTTCCCTATCTTCCATGTCCCTCTCTCCTAACCCCTCTCCTTCCTCCTCCCCTAGCTTGACAAGCTTCCCTTTCTCCCATGGCCCCCCACTCTACCCTCCACCCCCCTCCCAACCAACCCCCCTTCAGCACATGCGCGCCAGGCTGACAGACTTTGGAATGGCGAGGGCGGGCCCAGAGGAGGGGAAGACGCATGTTTCCACTCAAATAAAGGGGACATTGGGGTATTTAGACCCCGAATACATGGACACTGGTATGTCAACAGAAGGACGCAGAGGCCTCAAGGGTTGGGGCATAAGGGAGTGTTGAGGCAATAAGGGTTGTGGTGTAAGGGAGTGAGCACTGGTGTTTGTTTTGTGGTTTGTTCAGCACAAGTGAATTGAGTGATTTTTGTGGGTCTTGCTAAGCCGTAGTTTTCTCTTCTCCGTTTCTCCTCTCCTCTGCTCCAGTCACCTGCATATGACAGCGCAACCTACTCCCCCCCTCGTTAGACCACATTGCTCATACCAGTGACATTCACCAGTCCTATCAAAATTTGACTTCACACTTACCAGTGACATATTTCACTCCTCTTTTCACCCCCTCATCCCCCCGTCTTCAGGCCACCTGGCTCCCACCAGTGACGTTTATTCCTTTGGAATTATCCTGTTAGAGCTACTAACCGGCCGGCCTCCATTCGAACCCGAATCATCCACTTACCTTGTCTTCTCTCCACCCTCTCCCTTTCTCCCATCCCTCCCTCGCCAGGCCACCTCGCTCCCACCAGTGACGTTTATTCCTTTGGAATAATCCTGCTTGAGCTACTAACAGGCCGGCCTCCATTTGAACCCGAATCTTGAGCGCCTTAGAAGTAATCTCATTTCTCAATCCCCCACCCTCTCTCTTCCCTCTCTTCTCCCCCTCTTCAGGCGACCTCGCCCCCACCAGTGACGTTTATTCCTTTGGAATAATCCTGCTAGAGCTACTAACCCGCCGACCTCCATTCGAACCCGAATTGTCCGCTTACCTTGTCTTCTCTCCACCCTCTCCCTTTCTCTCATCTCCCCCTCTTCAGGCCACCTCGCCCCCACCAGTGACATTTATTCCTTAGGAATAATCCTGCTAGAGCTACTAACCCGCCGACCTCCATTCGAACCCGAATCGTCCACTTACCTTGCCTCTTCCACACCCATTCTTGTGCCGAAGCCGAATCTTCCACTTACCTTGTCTTGCCTCTTCCTCTCTCCCCCTTCCCCACCCTCTCTCTTCCCTCTCATCTCATCTCCCCCTCTTCAGGCCACCTCACTCCCACCAGTGACATTTATTCCTTCGGAATAATCCTGCTTGAGCTACTAACCGGCCGGCCTCCATTCGAACCCGAATCTTCCACTTACCTGGTCTACCAAATCCGACCCTACTTTGACAACCCTGAGCTGAGCCTAGACAAGTTCATGGATCCGAGGCTGGAAGGCAGGTTCGGGAGGAAGTCAGCAATAGGGTTGGTGGTTCTGGCGAAGCATTGCCTGAATGATAAAAGGAACAAGAGGCCTGAAGCGAGTGTGCTTGTAGAGAGGCTCAAGGACCTGGAGAAGGTTGTAACAAGTGAGTGTACAGAGGGTGATGATGCTAGTGGAAAGGCAGCAAATTAGTAAATCCATGCCTTGCGTCGAAGAATGTACGGGTTATGAGCAATTTACTCGTTCATAGCAGAATGATGCACTTTTTAAGTTTTAGGGCGCTTCACCTGTCGGTTCGAACAACACACTCGTTCGAACAGGCGAAACGTTACTAGTTTCGCTCATGTTCGTAGTGGTTTTCGTGACGTCGCGAAGCACAATTTCGCCAATTTGAACAGAGCTGTCACCTCAAGCACGATTTTCATCATCCCGCACGTTCGAACACGTTTGTTCGAACAGGTTGGGATAGGTGACACACAATTCCGCACAAACGACTGATATGATTGGTCCACAGTCTTCCGGGTCGCCCATGAACGTTTGCGACCCGGCCAGACGTCGCCAATGTTTGGGACCCAATGTTTGGCGACGTCGCTCTTTTGTGGGCGACGTCGCTGTGTTCGAACAGACCGCGTGTGCGAATAGCGATGGCGTCACCTGTGATGGCCTGTGTCACATTCGCTCATTGTACGTATTTGTGTTCGAACTCATTTGGGATACTGTTCGTACAGTCAAACTGATACGTCGGTTCGGATTTTGGCCTTCCGCCCCTCAGGTGAAGCGCCCTTAGCATATGAAAACAATGTTTTGGTTGGCTTCTTCTGTACAGTTGTTACCTTGGTACACTTTCCCTGCAGTTGGTTCACCTAGTAAATTTTATCCCCATTATAATAATTACTCCCTCCACTCCACTTCCAAAACCAAAAGGTGCACAATGGTGCATACAGAAAGTTGCGCTAAGCAACAGCAGCAGTAGCAGAAAGCAGCACGCTTCAGCATTTGAAAGGAATCAAAAGCAGGGCTACGGACTCTGCACAAGGCTCGCTTCGCTAGTCTTCAAGGAACATGTTCAAAACATGTACCTGAATGAAAACGAGCCCCCTTGAACATATCTGTTGTCTAGGAATCCAACGCACTTGGTGAAATACCGGTATAAAACAAAACAGGGGAATTGAAATGAAGGGGCGAAGATCGGATGTTGGGGGGGAGGTGAGATATAAACTGGAAATACTTGGCATGGGAGGCGGGGGTATTGGTGGTGGTGATGGATTATGTTCGGGTGACATGGGATGATCGGAAGTGGTAACCTGGTAACCATGTAGCCTGATAGTGATGGTTGGTGTTATGGCGGTGATCATGGCGTGCAGTGGTGGTGGGATGGTGATCATGGTTGGTCGGATCAGATGCCTCAACCTCGACCTTCATGAGAAGGAAGGCCAGCTCAAACACTTATGCCTCCCTCCCAAAACCTTTATGTAGTCTCACATACAGCCTCCCTCCCCAAAGACTGCATCCATTTGCACAGCAGCAGCACTCGAGCGAGTCTATTGTGAGGCCCCTCAGAAATGGACGTGCCGTGCCCGATTGAGCACTGAGCACTGAGTCTATTGTGAGGCGCCTCAAAAACCACCAGAAATGGACGTGCTTCCAATTGAGCACTGCCGAAGAATCAAATCACACTCGACGTTCCGAAACTGGTAGTTGCCAAGCTGCCACGTAACAACAGGTCTTGCATGCAGAATCAAATCAGAACGCCAGGAGCATTGCAGATGAGATGAACAAATCGGCGTCCCGGTATGGTATTTAACAAATGCGAACCCTGGCATTCTGATACTTCGCAAGTACCGCTCTCCACCGCACTGCTTCTTGACTGAACCGCTACACCAGTCAGAGTTCTGATGCTTGGCAGCCGGGACTGCAACCCGCACTGCCTAATGACTGGACTCAGAAATCAGTTGGAGTTGCGATACTTGGCAGGTACTGGAACGGCTTCAGGAGACTTGGAGTCAAACTGAACAGCATCGTCGAATGAGCGGAGCGAGGAGGGGTTGGTGGCGCTGCCGTTGGTAGCCGGGGTGTTGAGTGCTTCTACTGCCTCCCGCAGGTTGGCCGCTGCTGCTATAATCTCCTCCTCCTCCTGCAAATTCAACGAGGAAGGCACGGAACAAGGGAGAGAACATCGTTAGGAGATTTGGAATCAAACTGAACAGCATCGCCGACAAGCGGAGCGAGGAGGGGTTGGTGGCGCTGCTGTTGGTTGCCGGGGTGTTGAGTGCTTCCACTGCTTCTCGGAAATTTGCTGCTGCTGCTATAATCTCCTGCTCCTCCTGCAAATCCATTGGGGAAGGCACAGCACAAGAGAGAGAACATCGTTTGGGGACTTGGAGTCGAACTGAACAGCATCGTTGAAAGAGCGGAGCGAGGAGGGGTTGGTGGCGCTGCCGTTGGTTGCTGGGGTGTTGAGCGCTTCCACTGCCTCCCGCAGGTTGGCTGCTGCTGCGATGATCTCCTCCTCCTCTTGAAGTCAATTGAGTGAGGGGAAGAACAAGGGGAAACAAGGGGAAACAAGGGGAAACAAGGGGAAACAAGGGGAAACAAGGGGAAACAAGGGGAAATATTAGGATGAGGGGCTGGAGGCGCTGCCATTGGTTGCCGGGGTGTTGAGTGCTTCAACTGCTTCTCGGAGGTTGGCTGCTGCTGCTATGATCTCCTGCTCCTCCTGGAGGCTGATAGAGGTGTGAATTGTTTTGGGGGTGGAGAAAAAAAGTGAGATGTAGGCGCATCAGCAGCAGCAGCAGCAGCCTGGGCGTTGAGTTGCCTCCACTGCTTCTCTGAAACTGGTTGCTGCTGCAATGATGTATCTCCTGCTCCTCGTGGAAGAAGAGATGATGGGAAGAGTTGAAGTGAGATGAAGAAGAGCTGACTACAGTAGCTGATAGCCACATGTAGCGAGGTTGTTATGAGGCGTCTCAAAGACAATGGAAGAAGAGACGATGGGAAGAGTTGAAGTGAGATGAAGAAGAGCAGACTACTACAGTAGCTGATATGGCCCACCAGTTTCGCCCTACATCTTAGCAGTCACGCCCTGCCCCTGTCACACCCTGTCCCAGTCACGCCCTGCCCCTGTCACACCCTGTCCCAGTCTCGCCCTGCCCCAAGCAGCTGACACCCCCACCTCAACAACCCAGCGAATCACACTATCAGTTTCCTCCTTTCACTTAAAGAATCCACCCTCTCACCTTATCAGGAACAGCGGATGCAGCCGACTTGGCAGAGACGCTCTGCCCCAGGCGGGCGACCGAGTCCTGAAGCCTGCTGGGGGAGGGGAGGACGGGGGGGGGGAGAAAGAGCAGGAGGGGTGCATTTGCACATTCTCCACTTGCCTCCAGTTCACCCCTCGTGCACTGCACTCAAGCACAGCCCCTCGCACCGCAGCAGACTGACGCTCTGCCCCAGGGTATGGCTTTGAGAATTCTCAAAAAACATATGCCCCAGGTGGGCCACCTGATCCTGAAGCCTGCTGGGGGAGGGGAGGACGGGGGGTGGGGAGGATGGAAGGAAGGGGGGAAGAGGAAGCGAGAGCACATTTGCTCATTATCCATGCCTGCTTGTCATGCCCTGCCATAGGGGGGCCACCTGATCCTGAAGCTCGCTGGGGGAAGTGAAGAAATAGGGGGAGGGGCGGAGAGGAGGAAAGGGGGGGGGGGGGGGAGGAGGAAGGGATGGATTTGCATGCATTACTCAGTCAACTCAAGTCAACCCAAGTCAACTTGAGGTCCTCCCATGCTACTGCGCTGCAGCGTGCTGGTCAGTCATGGTCGGCCCCAGGCTCTACCTGATCCTGAAGCCTACTGGGGGAGATAGAGAGAGGAGGGGTTTGGGAAGGAAGGGGAGGGGTAATGGGAGGACGAAGGGGAGGGCGGAATTGCATGCATTACTCAGTCACACTCTGCATTACTGCAGCTCCTAGGCTCCCTTAGACAAGTCCACCTCCATCTTTGTCGCGGCGGCACCAACACCCCAGCAGCACTCAACGGCCCGTGCACACCCCAGCAGCACTCCCCCCAACTGCCCGTGCACACCCCACAAGTGTAACCTCTCCTTCTCAAATGCTCCTCTCTCTCACACTTCTCTCCCACTCTCTCACCTGCTGTGAAGCTCTTTCGCTCCCTTAGACAAGTCAACCACCATCTTAGTCGCAGCGGCACCAACGCCCATCCCCACGCCTCCTCTCTCAAATGGCTGTTTGTATCAATGCATGGAAAAACACTCGCTTCCCCTCCCTCTCGCCCTCTCTCACCTGCTGTGAAGCTCCTTAGCTCCCTTAGACAAGTCAACCACCATCTTAGTAGCAGCAGCACCAACGCCCATCCCCACACCTCCCACCATAGCCTCTTTCTCCTTCAACTCAACCTCCAGCTTCGTAACCTTCCCAGAAAGTTCCCCAAGCTCCACCCGAGCCTTCATGAGAGCCTTCGCCTCCACCTTCTCCTTTTCCCGGGCAGCCGACAGCTGCACAAACAGGTCCGAAATCTTTTCATCTGCCCGCCCCAGCAGCACCTTCGCCTCCTTCTCCTTCGCCTGCAACTGCCCAACCCTCCCCTCCAGCTTCGACACGTTCTCCGAAGCTGCCTCAGCCTCGGCCCGAGCCTCCGCGAGCTGCTTCTGGAGCTTCTCAACAGCCGCCTCCATAATAGCTTCTGCGTTAGAAGCAACAGGACTAGCAGCACCACTCTTCTTCTGCTCAGCCGAAACTGCCTCGGCAACAGCAGCATCCAGTTTCTGCTGCTGGCGGGACTTAATCAACTCCATCTGGCGCAGCAGGAAGGAGGAGCGCTCGCTTGCAGCCTCGGCCGTCTGCTTCGCCGCTGCCAGCTCGGCTTGAAGCACGTCCACCTGCGCTCGCATGATCACGATTGCCCCCTCGACCTGCTCCGCTGCCTTGGACTGTCAAGGGTGGAGAAACAGAAACAGAAGAAGGGGGACAGAGCAACAGGGACAAGAGGGAGGAGTGAAAATTGGGCTGCAGCTGCTGGCGAGACTTAATCAATTCCATTTGACGAAGCAGGAAGGAGGAGCGCTCGCTTGCAGCCTCGGCCGTCTGCTTCGCCGCTGCCAGCTCGGATTGAAGCACGTCCACCTGTGCTCGCATTATCACGATTGCTCCCTCCACCTGCTCCGCTGCCTTGGACTGTGCAGGGGTGGGTTGCAGAGAGGAAGTGGGGAGAGAGGGAGGCAAGAGGGAGGAGTGAGCATTGAGGTGCTGCCAGCTCTGCCTGCAGCACGTCTACCTGTGCTCGCATTATCACGATTGCTCCCTCCACCTGCTCCGCTGCCTTGGACTGTGCAGGGAGAAGAGGCAGGAAGAGGGGAGAAGCCAGAGAGAAAGATACGGAGGGAGCAATCGTGATAATGCGAGCACAGGTAGACGTGCTGCCTTGGACTGAGAAGAGGCAGGAAGAGGGGAGAAGCCAGAGAGAAAGATACGGAGGGAGCAATCGTGATAATGCGAGCACAGGTAGACGTGCTGCCTTGGACTGTGCAGGGAGAAGAGGCAGGAAGAGGGGAGAAGCCAGAGAGAAAGATACGGAGGGAGCAATCGTGATAATGCGAGCACAGGTAGACGTGCTGCCTTGGACTGTGCAGGGAGAAGAGGCAGGAAGAGGGGAGAAGCCAGAGAGAAAGATACGGAGGGAGCAATCGTGATAATGCGAGCACAGGTAGACGTGCTGCCTTGGACTGTGCAGGGAGAAGAGGCAGGAAGAGGGGAGAAGCCAGAGAGAAAGATGCGGAGGGAGCAATCGTGATAATGCGAGCACAGGTAGACGTGCTGCCTTGGACTGTGCAGGGAGAAGAGGCAGGAAGAGGGGAGAAGCCAGAGAGAAAGATACGGAGGGAGCAATCGTGATAATGCGAGCACAGGTAGACGTGCTGCCTTGGACTGTGCAGGGAGAAGAGGCAGGAAGAGGGGAGAAGCCAGAGAGAAAGATACGGAGGGAGCAATCGTGATAATGCGAGCACAGGTAGACGTGCTGCCTTGGACTGTGCAGGGAGAAGAGGCAGGAAGAGAGGGGAGAAGCCAGAGAGAAAGATGCGGAGGGGGCAATCGTGATAATGCGAGAGGGGCCTCAAAAGAAGAGGCAGGAGGAGGCAGGAAGAGGGGAGAAGCCAGAGAGAAAGATACGGAGGGAGCAATCGTGATAATGCGAGCACAGGTAGACGTGCTGCCTTGGACTGTGCAGGGAGAAGAGGCAGGAAGAGAGGAGAAGCCAGAGAGAAAGATACGGAGGGGCGGAGCAAGGGAGAGAGGGAGAGCGAGAGATGAGTGGAGGGGACATGCACTACCACCCCCTCCAATATGTGGAGGGGACATGCACTACCACCCCCTCCAATATGTGGAGGGGACATGCACTACCACCCCCTCCAATATGTGGAGGGGACATGCACTACCACCCCCTCCAATATGTGGAGGGGACATGCACTACCACCCCCTCCCTCCTCCCTCCTCCCTCCCCACTCTCACCTGAGCAGCGACGCTGTCGAGCTTCTGCATGAGCACCCCAACCTCCCGCCGCGCCTCCTCCTCGCTCTTCTTCACTCTCTCCACCTGCACCACCAGCCCCTCCTTCTCCCTCTCCGCCGCCCGCACTCTCTCCCTCGCCTCCCTCTCCCTCTCCTTCCCCTCCGCCAGCTGTCGCTCCAGGAAGCGCATCCTCTCTCCGGCTGTAGCGCGCTCGGCTGTAGCGTCAGACAGGCGGGCTGTGAGCGTGCTGACGAGGGCTGTGAGGTATGCCTCGTTGTTGATGGCTGCCTGTAGCGCTGCTTTAGCCATCTGATGATTCGACGAGGGGAGCAGGGGGGCACATGGGCAGGAGAGCAGGCGGGCTGTGAGCGTGCTGACGAGAGCCGTGAGGTAGGCTTCGTTGTTGATCGCTGCCTGTCGCACCGCCTTGGCCATCTGATAATTCGAGGAGCACTACGCCCCTATTCCCGCCCCCCTCACCTCCCCCTCAATCCCCTTACCATGGGGCTGTCTGCAGCAGCCAGCGCCACCTCTGCCGCCTCCCTCCCCCACACAGCCCCCCCCTGCATCCTCTTGACCGCGCCCAGCTTCATTATCACCCTCCCCCACTCCCATTCTGCCCGTTTCTGACCCATTCTCCCCCCCCTATTGCTCACCATGGGCATGGGGCTGTTAGCAGCAGCCAGCGCCAGTTCAGCCGCCTCCCTCGCCCTGCATCCTCCTAGCCGCGCCCAGCTCCTTACTCCCCCTTATTCCCTCTCACTCACCCAGTCTACTCCATCTCCCACCCCTATTCCCACCCCATCCCCCCCTAACCCCCCTAATTCCACTCACCATGGGGCTGTCAGCAGCAGCCAGAGCCAGTTCAGCCGCCTCTCTCTCCCTCACAGCCTCGCCCTGCATCCGCTTAGCCGCGCCCAGCTCCGCCACGACCTTCTCTGCGCGCGCTACAGCCTCCTTCCAAGAAGCTCGCAGGCTGGCCTCCCGTTCCTTTGCTGCTGCTAGCTCAGCCTTCACCCCTGCCAGACACACAGGTCGCACACAGGACACAGGAGAGCAAGGGGAACCGTGTGTGAGTTGGGACTGGACGCGCCCAGCTCCGCCACCACCTTCTCAGCGCGCGCCACTGCCTCCTACGCCCTGAGGCTCGCCTCCCTCTCCTTGGCAGCTGACAGCTCAGCCTTCACGCCTGTGGGTCGGACGCACTGGCAGCACACGGGAGGGACAGGGAAGGTGTTGACTCCAGCACCCGCGGAAAAAGCTGGGTAGAGGGAAGAACTCGCAGTTCCCTCATGGGCCGGTGCTACATCCTTTCAGCAGACTCAAAGCACACGCACCTGCCAGCAGCGTGTTGGCCTGTCGCGCCTGCGCCAACGCAGCCTGCTCCCTCTCCCTCAGCGTCTCCATCACACGAGCAAAGAACTCGCATTTCCCATTGGCAATGCGAGCTGCCTCGTGCGCCGCTGCCACCTCCGTCTCGAGAGCAGCCACGCGGGTGGTCAGATCCTTCACCTTCACCAGCGCTGCTTGCTCCTGGGAGGGGTGGGGGAGGTGGGGTGAGGTGGGATGAGGTGGGGTGAGGTGGGGTGAGGTGGGATGAGGTGGGGTGAGGTGGGGTGAGGGAAGCCAGGGGTAAGGGATGTGCCGCTGCCACCTCCGTCTCTAGCGCTGCAACGCGGGTGGCCAGATCCTTCACCTTCACCAGCGCTGCTTGCTCCTGGGAGGGGAGGAGGGGAGGGATGGAAGGGGGGAAGGGAGGAGCTGACGGGAGGGGAGGAACTGAGGGGTTGACGGGAGGGGTAGAAGGAAGGGGGTGGAGGGTGGGGTGGAGAAGCTTGTATCCTACTCACTCTCTTGTCCACCACTTGAGGTGGCTTCGGCCTGTTTTGAGATGTCTCAAAACTTTTGAGACGTCTCAAAGCTTCAATCCTACTCACTCTCTTGTCCACCACTTGAGGTGGCTCCGGCCTGTTTTGTGATAATACACACTCACAGTATTCCATGCCATTGCATCCCACTCACCCTCTTCTCCACCACTTGCGTCATCTGTACAGCCAAAGCCACCTAACTCCTTGCCGCCTTCTCCTTCTGCTCCATCTCCTTCACAACCCCAGACAGGAAACCAATCCCTTCCTTCACCACTCCCCTGATTACCCCACACAAAACCCAGCCCCCTCTTTCTCCCGCACCCACACCTACTGCCACTTACTTTATCCTGAGTAATTCTACACCACGCTACCCGCTAAGCATTCCAGGTGTTTTTGTCTCCACTCACCCGCTTCTCAACCACTTGAGTCATCTGAACGGCCGAAGCCACCTCACTCCGCGCCGCCTTCTCCTTCTGCTCCAGCTCCTTCACAACCCCCGACAGGAACCCGATCCTCTCTTTAGCCTCTGCCATAGCCGCAACAGCCTCCTCTTGCTTCGCCCCCACATTCACCACTTCCGCTTTTAGCGCCTCAGCCTTTTAGTTAACCCACACAAGCACCCGACCTTTTCCACTTACCCGTTTCTCCACCACTTGCGTCATCTGTACAGCCGAAGCCACCTCACTCCGCGCCGCCTTCTCCTTCTGCTCCAACTCCTTCACAACCCCCGACAGGAACCCGATCCTCTCTTTAGCCTCTGCCATAGCCGCAACAGCCTCCTCTTGCTTCGCCCCCACATTCACCACTTCAGCCTTCAGCGCCTCTGCCTTTTTCTTTGCCTCCTCCGCTTCAGCCTCGGCTTTCCGCCGAGCCTCGATCAGTTCCGACTCTCTCTCCCGCAGGCCGGCCACTTCAGCTTCGAGCTCCCCGATCCTCCCCTGGGCAGCTTCGGCGGAGGCTTGGGACCACGCCTCGCGGTTAGCTGCGGCCGAGAGCTGTGTGGCGAGCCGCGAGGCTCGGGCCGAGGCTGCCTTGGCGGTCTTTTCAGCCTCGGCGTGCTTGGTTCGGAGGGTCGTCAGCTGGTTAAGAAAGAAGGAGATTCGGTCCGTGGCGGCGGTTTCAGCTTCTGCTGCTGCCTTCTGCCTGGCCTCCAGCTGCTGAATCTGCGCCATCAGAATGTTCACCTTCTCCTGGGGGGATGCCTGGAGGGTAGAGGCGGGGAGAGAGGAGGGGGTGAGTGACGTGGTTAGGGATATTCGCCTTCTGCTGCTGCCTTCTGCCTGGCCTCCAGCTGCTGAATCTGCGCCATCAGAATGTTCACCTTCTCCTGGGGGGATGCCTGAAACATCGAGATAAGGAGGAGGGAGGGGGGATGGGGGGAGAGAGGGGGAGGGGGGGGCAGAGGTGGTGAGTGTGGTGGTGAGGAGGGAGAGGTGGTAGGTAGGCGGAAATCAGTCTGTGGCTGCTGTTTCGGCTTCAGCTGCTGCCTTCTCCCTGGCCTCCAGTTGCTGAATCTGCACCATCAGATACGTGTGAAACGTGCAAACGGAAGGACAATGGAAAGACAAGTCAGAACGAGAACTTGGGGGAGTACATGCCATGACACTTTCCATGGAAATTCCATAAGAGGCACTCTGCATAAGGGCAATTCTCTCTCCACAACACACTAATCCTCCCCATTCCCCCCTACCCCTTCCCACTCTCTCCTCGCTTCCCCTTCCCTCCTCGCCCACCCTCTCTCCCCCCAACTCACCGCTCCGCCCTCGATCTGCTTCTCCGCCTCCCTCGTTGCCCTCCTGATGGCGGCCTGGCAGGATACATACAGGGAAGAACAGGCACGAGGAAGAAAGGAAGACATGGGACGGGAAAAGCAGCGCTTAATACAAGAGGAAACGTGCATGGCGAGGAATGCGCTGCTTTTCCTCCCTCGTGCATGACGTGCATGGCGAGGAATGCACGTTGGGAGCACGTACATGAGACGTGCATGGCGAGGAATGCAGAGGAGGCGAGGGGAGAGGAGAGGGGAGGAGCGAAGAGGGCAAGAGAGGAAAGGAAGGGAGAGGAGGAGAGGAGAGGAGGGGAGAGGAAAGGAGAGGATAGGAGAGGAGAGGAGAGAGGATGAGAGGAGGGCCATATTTGGGAGGAAGAGTGACACGTCAGCAATAAGATCAGCTGAGCTGGCAGTACCTTGGAGAGCGCTTCAGAGAGCGCCACATCAGCAGCCACCATGCGCTGGAAGCCCTCCATTGCAAGCTTCCTCTCAGCCGCCTGGCAGCAGGAAAAAGAGGAATGTGTTTGTGGGGGGAGGAGAGAGGAAGAGAGGAGGAAAGAGGGAGAAAAGGAATGGGAGAAGATGAGGGACGGAATGTCACTGAAACCCTTGTGTGGCGAGTTTCCTCTCAGCTGCCTGCAGCAGGAAGAGGAGGAAACAAATTGCGAAAGGAGGAGGGCAGGGGAGGGGGAACGACGCATGGGAGATGCGGCATGAAAAGGGAACTCCACCCCCCCTTCCAACACCCACACACCACACACCCACCCCCACACCACACACCCACAGCATGACAAGGGAGCTCCCTCTTTCCTCCACTCACCCACACACCCACACATCTACACCCCTGTTGCAACGACCCCACCCATCCTCACACCCATTCGCCTACCTTTCAGTCGCCAGCAGAGCTCCCCCTCACCCCCTAAGCAATGCGCTGCTGCAGCTCCGCTGCCAGCTTCGTCAGCCTGTCATCCCATACCCACGCCCCACACCCCTGCATCACCCACCTTCCAGTCGCCAGCAGAGCTCCCCCTCACCCCCTTGGCGATGCGCTGCTGCAGCTCCGCCGCGGCCAGCTTCGTCAGCCGCTCACCCATCCTCCCTGCCACACGCCATACACAAATCCACCCCTTACACCCCAAGCCCCACGCACCTTCCAGTCACTGGCGCTGCTCCCCCTGACGCCCTTGGCGATGCGCTGCTGCAGCTCCGCCGCGGCCAGCTTCGTCAGCCACTGGCTGTTGCCCGCTGTACCTCCCTCTTCCCTCTACTCACTCACACACCCGCCACCAACACACCTTCCAGTCACTTGCAGAGCTGCCCCTGACGCCCTTAGCAATGCGCTGCTGCAGCTCCGCCGCAGCCAGCTTCGTCAGCCGCTGGCTGTTGCCCGCTGCCAGTTGAGTGTGGGTCTGCTCAAGGGCGTCCAGAGCGGGCCGTGCAGAGGGACACACGCGCTTCAACGCCGCTGCTGCTGCCTCTGCTGTATCTCCCTTCACCAGGGAGAGATACCTGTGCAGTGCAGGGATGGGCGGAGTGGGGGATAAAGGGAGTGGATTGAGCGTCTGGGATGAGCCGCTGGCTGTTGCCCGCTGCCAGGTGCGTGTGGGTCTGCTCAAGGGCGTCCAGAGCGGGCCGTGCAGAGGGACACACGCGCTTCAACGCCGCTGCTGCTGCCTCTGCTGTTTCTCCCTTCACCAGGGAGAGATACCTGTGCAGTGCAGGGATGGGCGGAGTGGGGGATAAAGGGAGTGGATTGAGCGTCTGGGATGAGCCGCTGGCTGTTGCCCGCTGCCAGGTGCGTGTGGGTCTGCTCAAGGGCGTCCAGAGCGGGCCGTGCAGAGGGACACACGCGCTTCAGCGCCGCTGCTGCTGCCTCTGCTGTATCTCCCTTCACCAGGGAGAGGTAGCTGTATGGGGTGAGGGATGGGAGGAAGCGGAATGAATGAAGGATCCACACTGCCTGCGGCCAGGCTGTGGAATGAATGAAGGATCCACACTGCCTGCGGCCAGGCTGTGGAATGAATGAGTCGCTGGCTGTTGCCCGCCGCCAGGTGCGTGTGGTTCTGCGCAACGGCATCTAGTGCTCACAGCTCGCAGGAATGTCTGATCACACGCTTTCTGCTCAGTGAAGAGCTTCGATTTTACAGAACCCTACGTAAACTAGCTAGGTTTTACTACTACTGTTTTCTCCTTTGCTAAACCTTCTCCTTAGAAACTGCAGCTCGCTGGAATGTCTGATCACAACGGCGTCTAGAGCGGGTCAGGCAGAGGGGCACACGCACTTCAGCGCCGCTGCTGCTGCCTCCGCCGTTTCCCCCTTTTACCAGGGAGAGGTAGCTGTCTCGGGGTACGGGATGGGGGGGTTGGGGAGAGCAGGGGATGGGGTTGGGGAGAGCAAGGGAGGGGGTTGGGGAGAGCAGGGGAGGGGGTTGGGGAGAGCAGGGGGCGGGTTGAGCCGCTGGCTGCCTCTGACGTTTCCCCCTTCACCAGTGACAGGTAGGTAGGTAGCGTCACCCCTTCATTCCGTCACACACTTACTCACCTGAGGGCTGTCAGAGCGCTGGCAGCGTTGGGCTGGCAGCTGACAACCAGCACTCGATGCTCTGCTGCTGCCAGCCAGGTACTGTTACAACACCAGCGTTGACCGGCGTTGACTGCACTCACCCCAGAGCTGTGAGCGCGCTGGCAGCGTTGGGCTGGCAGCTGACGACCAGCACCCGATGCTCTGACGCTGGCAGCTACAGAATCTATACCAGCATTGACTAGCGTTGACCAGCGTTGATTAGCGTTGACTGTACCACTCACCCCAGGGCAGTCAGCGCGCTAGCAGCGTTGGGCTGACAGCTGACCACGAGCACTCGGTGCCCCGATGCTGCCAGCTACAGCTTCTTTACCAGCGTTGACTAGCTTTGACCAGCGTTGACTGCACTCACCCCAGGGCAGTCAGCGCGCTGGCAGCGTTGGGCTGGCAGCTGACCACGAGCACTCGGTGCCCCGATGCTGCCAGCTACAGCTTCTTTACCAGCGTTGACTAGCTTTGACCAGCGTTGACTGCACTCACCCCAGGGCAGTCAGCGCGCTGGCAGCGTTGGGCTGGCAGCTGACCACGAGCACCCGGTGCCCCGATGCTGCCAGCTACAGCTTCTTTACCAGCGTTGACTAGCTTTGACCAGCGTTGACTGCACTCACCCCAGGGCAGTCAGCGCGCTGGCAGCGTTGGGCTGGCAGCTGACCACGAGCACCCGGTGCCCCGACGCTGCCAGTGACGCCACCACTCGCACAGCCTCGAGCAGCACAGGTACCTGTGGGGGTGGGAGAATGGCGGAGGAGAGGAGGGGAAGAGGGGAGTTGCAGGGGAGCAGGGGAGCAGGGGAGCAGGGGAGCAGGGGAGCAGGGGAGCAGGGAGGGACTGACGACAAGAGGTTGGCTGGCAACTGACGACCAGCACCCGATGCCCCGATGCTGCCAGCGACGCCACCACGCGCACAGCCTCGAGCAGCACAGGCACCTGTGGGGTTGAGAATGGGGGAGGAGAGGCGGGGAGCAGGGGAGCAGGGGAGCAGGGGAGCAGGGGAGCAGGGGAGCGGGGAGGGACTGACGACAAGAGGTTGGCTGACAACTGACGACCAGCACTCGATGCCCCGATGCTGCCAGTGACGCCACCACTCGCACAGCCTCGAGCAGCACAGGCACCTGTGGGGTTGAGAATGGGGGAGGAGAGGCGGGGAGCAGGGGAGCAGGGGAGCAGGGGAGCAGGGGAGCAGGGGAGCAGGGGAGCGGGGAGGGACTGACGACAAGAGGTTGGCTGACAACTGACGACCAGCACTCGATGCCCCGATGCTGCCAGTGACGCCACCACTCGCACAGCCTCGAGCAGCACAGGCACCTGTGGGGGTGAGAGATGAAGGGGGGACCGAGGGGGGAACCGGGAGGAGGGGGGGGAATACGGGCGGTTAAAGCAGTAATTTTTGATGCTGCCAGTGACGCCACCACGCGCACAGCCTCGAGCAGCACAGGTACCTGCGGGGATGAGAGGTTGTGGGGGGCGGAGGTGGGGAGAGGAGAGGAGGGGATAAGGGCGGTTCACCTGATGCTGCCAGTGCCGCCACCACGCGCACAGCCTTGATCAACACAGGCACCTGCGGGGTGGGTGAGAGGGGAGGGGAGCGGGGAAGGGAAGGGATAAACGAGCAGGGGGGTTGGAACGAGAGGAAGCTGCCTGATGCTGCCATGCCAGCGACGCCACCACGCGCACAGCACAGCCTCGAGCAGCACAGGCACCTCGAGCAGCGCAAGCACCTCGAGCAGCGCAAGAACCTTCGAGCAGCGCTTGTACAATCGCCTCACCAGGGGGTGGTTTCAGCGCTATTACAATTCCACCCACCCGGTAATGGCGTGTGGGCAGGGGGTGGTTGATTTCAGCTTCCTCCTGCCTCAACCCAAGCCCGCTCCCATTGACTGCCTTGCGTACCTGGGTGTTGTTGGAAGAGTCTCCCTTCTCCCCAGCTGCTGCTGCGGCTGCTGCAGCAACAGCAGCACTCTCCCCTAGCGTTTCCACTGATTCCACCCGCACCGCCGCCCCTCCCGCCTCCGTGACTGCCGCCGCGACTGCCGGCCAATCAACGCCCAGCTCGCGCTCCTGCTGCTCCGTCTGCAGATGTGGCGCGGGGAAGGATGGGGGAGGGAGTGAGGAAGGAAGCGGAAAGTGAGTGAGAAGAGAGAAACCCCACAGATGACTGCTCGCACGTAAGCACGGCCACCCTTTCCCCCCTCCGTGACGTTGCAGAGTATTTTTGAGAATTCTCAAAAATACTCTGCAACATCAGGGAGTGAGGAAGGAAGCGGAAAGTGAGTGAGAAGAGAGAAAGCCCACAGATGACTGCTCGCACGTAAGCACGGCCACCCCCTCCCGCCTCCGTGACTGCCGCCGCGACTGCTGGCCAGTCAACACCCAGCTCAATCACGTGGGGAAGATGGGAGAGTGGGGTGAGGGAGGGAGGAAGGGAGGAAAATGGGCTAGAAGGAAGAAAAACCACAGATGATACTCGCACCGCTCAAAACAGCTACTTGCTCGCATTTCTAAAGTCGCTGGTCCGTGCGAGCTTGAGTATGCATTGTTAGAACTTTCGTGGGAGATTCAACAGCGGAACGACAATACGTTGAAAGAAAATGATGTAGTACCATTCACATGCTTTTTTTTTTCTTTCTTTTTTCTAGCGACAGTAGATACACGTAACAAGCGCGCTTACCATAAGGGCCACAACGGCAGTGACGTCAGCAGCCGCAAGGACAGCCTTAGCGTCGTCAGCCGTCGCCAGCGGCGACCCGATCAACACGTTGTCGGCGACGTGGCACCACGAGATTGGCCAGTCGCCCTCGACTCTCGCCGACTCAGCTGTTATTGTGAGGACATCGAAAGTTGTGGAGACGGAGACGGGGGGGGGGGAATCAGCTGTAATTATAACGACAGCAATGGTTGTTGGGGCGGGGTGGAAACGGGCGACAATAAGCTGCTATTGTAAGGTTACCGAGGGTTGTAGGTGAACACGAGCGAAGAGGGAAGGTGGGGGCGAAGATTATAAGCAGAGTACCACGACGGTAACCAATCGACACACAAAAGACACCGCATCATGTGGCAAATAACCAATTACGCGGCACCCAGAGTTCAGAATCCGCCGAATACCGCGATTTGTATACTAACGTTCCTGTGGTATCCGACGCCCACCGCATTCTTGTAGAAACATCGTCTACGTACTCAACATTTAAACAAACACTCAATTAATTGCTCTGTCAGGCATTTCTTTAGCAGATACGATATAACTTGCTTTTCCTTTGTAAGCATACCGGACTTTGATGCTTTTCCACGAATGCGACGAGGTAAAGAGCCTGAGTCCCGTCCCTGCTGCTTCTCCGCAATTGACGGGAACGTCGAAAGCTTCTTGAGCCGCGACTTCGCCTCCTCGCTCACATCCGCCATAATCACATCATGAACGCGATTCGCGGCGCCATCTCCGCCGCGCTTAGCGCCGGCGTTTCGTCGGTCCGTCGTTTCTCCGACAGCCGCGCGAGCTGCGCCAGGCTGGAATGCGGAAAGCCTCCGGAGATTAACTCCCACGCGCGGGGCCCGCGGAGGAGCCGCAATCGAACGCCGCGTTACGGGGACGAGAGTTAACGACGAAGCTAACGCGTGCGGCGGAGTGGCAAAAGCGTTCGGCTTCACGGGCAATCGCAGCCCGGCGCTGGTGACTGAAAGAGTTTCCATCCTGATTGCTTCAGGGCAGAACAGTTCGTATAAATGAATAGGAGCAGTACGTGGCCTTATTGAACAACTTCCAACCAGAAATGGCACGCGCAAATAGCTGTGTGTGCTGTGAGGAGGTCTCAGATCTGTACTAGAATGACTGGAGCAGCAGGTGTGAGTACGGGCGGAAACTGATACAACAGAAGCTGATGCGTTTCTTTCTCTCCTTTCCCTTGGCGGGAGGTGAAAGGTAGATGGACGAGATGGAGGAGAAGAGACTGCCTGATTCATGGGGCAGAATATTTGCGAATGTTTTCGACTGCTGAGTTACTGGCAAACGAATTCTCGAGCTGTCGTTGTCGAATCCAAACGGTAATATTCCCACAGAAAAATGGTAACCCGTTCTTGGCGAGTGTCTGCGAGCAGGTGCTGAGTAATAACTCCTGAAAGGACGGAGCCGCACTGATATGCTGCTGGGGGGGGGTTCTGAATAACGTTTCGAATCAGTTTGCTTTTTGGTGGGAAAAGCGGGCGATCCGACAGTTCCTTCGTTCCTATCCAAAAGTGACGCAGACCATTTTCCTGATTGGGTTGTCAGAAAGTGGCGGGAAGATTGCCTCACATCCGCTCGATTGAACTCCATCTACGGATTATAGCAGCCGTTGCGGAAAAACTGGATGTCTCACCCAGACTTTTGGGCCAGGTCATCAAAGGATATGAATCTTCCACAAGGTGAGGAAGGGGTCACGACCCGCACGTGTGAGACGCACAGATTTTTTCACCTCGCCCATGCATTGGTTAAGTATTCGGTAACCCGCAGGTTGCAAAAATGTCAGGAATGGGATTCGAACCCATGCCCTTTCGGACCAGTACCTGAAACTGGCGCCTTAGACCAACTCGGCCATCCTGACACGTCTCTGTAAGCAGCCTAAATAAATATAAAATATATTTGAGCTTCTCGAAGATTCCCTCTGCTTCTTAGAAGTTATGTGGTAACTGACGTCACGCCTGACGCTCTGCAGCTGGTAGGGTCCTGGAAATTACTTTCTACTTTTCTGGAGTCCTCCTACCCTGCTCCTCTTCCTCCATCCTTCGCTTCTATCGCCTTCGATACCTCCTGGCTCCAGCGGAAAGGCAGCAGGACTTGTGTCCTAGCATTTACCAGCAGCAAGGAAAGACAGTATATAAGCAACGTTCACTGCCGGAGAATGGTACAGATCATTACATACTTCTCGCTGTTCCGATACAAACGCCGTAGCTCTAGACTTCCCAATCCTTACATCGACGCCATCTTCCATTCTCCAGGAGGAGCAGAAGAAGTAGACGTGATGAGACTACTATTTAAAGCCGCGCCGCCTTATATTTAAGAACCCCTGTCAGGTAGGCTCCGCATCTGCGCCGCCGCCTCATCTGCGCATCTCCCATTCTGTTTAAGAGCCCCTGTCAGGTAGGCTCCGCATTTCCGCAGCCTTCTTTTCCAATTCTCCTCTCGTCGCATCATCGCCGCGCCGCCTCTTCTAATATCTCCAGAGTTCGTTTAGACCACTTTCCTAATTTAGTAAAATGGCTACTTTTGTGTCGCTTGCTCCCATCCGCCCTGTCCGCGTGCTCTCGGCCCGCCATCAGCCGATTCGTCCTCAGGCCTCGCCGCGCGTTACGAGTTCGACCGAGCGTATTACCGGAGCGACTCGGCCTTGTCGCGCTCTTCGACATCTCTATCTCAATCTCAGAAGCGCGCCGATTCTTTCCTTAACCGCCGCGCAGTTCTGCCTGCTCGCCACGTCGTCATTCGCCACGTCAGCCTTCCCGTCTGTGGCACGCGCCGCGTCAAGGAGCGAATCCCTTCGAGATTCGCTGCCCGTTTGTGGGATCGACGATCAAGACAGCCCGTTCGCTGCGATAACGCCACGTGGCAGACATCCCGCGGTTGTTCAGACGCACTCGACGCGTACTACCTCCGCGGCTGCGGAAATGGCGGCGGATTCGGCGGCGGGAAATGCGGGGGACGCGCAGGCGGAGCTTCCCGTTATCTTCGTGTCGCATGGTTCGCCGATGTCGGCGGTGGAGGAAGACGAGACGTCAGCCTTCTGGCAGCGACTCGGGAAACAGGTGAGCGCTCCGCCTTCTGACAACAAAACTTTCCTACTCCATCCAGTCCCTGGCGGCACTGTCCACCCAGTCTGTCATTCATTTCATTACCAACCCACCCCACCCCACCCCACCCCACCCCACTCCACCACACCCCACACCACCACTCCCCCATCCTCCTCCCCCCCTCCCCTTGCCTGTCCTCTCAGGTCGCCTCCTTACCAGGCATCAAGGCCATCCTCGTTATAAGCGCGCACTGGGAAGCGGACGGGGCGGCAATTCGAGTGAACAGTGCCACCCAGCCCGCCACTATTCACGACTTCTACGGGTTTCCCAAGGAGCTGTACGAGCTACAGTATCCTGTCAAGGGATCACCGGAGCTGGCACAGCGTGTAGTTGAGGTAAGGTCTGGCATTTTCAGGCACCTCCGGGAAGGGGTTTTCTCAAGGAGCTGTACGCGCTACAGTACCCTGTCAAGGGGTCTCCACAGCTGGCCCAACGTGTAGTTGAGAAGTGAGAAGGGCGAAGGAGTGACCATCCGTCTATGGGTTTTCCCTTGAGCTGTACGCGCTACAGTATCCTGTCAAGGGATCACTGGAGCTGGCACAGCGTATGGTGCAGGTAAGAGAGCAGAACCAGTGACTTGTACGCGCTACAGTATCCTGGCTCAGCATGTTGTTGAGGTGAGAATCGATTCTCACACGCCTCTGGGAGTGGGTTCCCCCGCAATTCCCCGAGAGCTGTACGAATCACAGTATCCAGCCAAGGGATCCCCGGAGGTGGCATGCTGTGTTGTTGAGGTGAGATAGTGATTCAGTATTGAAGCCAGTCATATAATGGGTTTTCCCGCAAGTTGTACATACTATCTTACCCTGTCAAGGGATCAAAAGGAAACAAAAGGAAACGGATACCCCCCTCCACTTGCAATATAATTCATTCAACTGCGCTATGTTCTTTCCTATTCTGCCCTCCCTGCTTGTTTCCCATCCCTTCCCCATCCCTTTCCCATCCTGGCCTGTCGACATCAGCTCCTCTCGGCTAATCACATCGAAGCTGAGCTGGACCCGTCCCACGGCCTCGACCACGGCGCGTGGGTCCCGCTGCGCTGGATGCTGCCACGTGGCAGCCTCCCAGTGGTCCAGATGTCGTTGCACGGCGGCAGCAGCCGGCAAGTGTTGAACGCTATAACGAGTATGCAGCGGCACGTGGAGCTGGGTCAGGCTTTAAGGCCGCTCAGGAAGGAGGGTGTGCTGGTGCTGGCGAGTGGTGGTGCTGTGCATAACTTAAGAGAAGTCGGATCGTACTTTGGGACGAAGAAGGTACGTGTTAGTTGAGTTGAGGCTATAATAAGTGTTGATGTCACTATCATCGTGCATTCGCTTACCATTCTTTTCCCCCCATTTTCTTATCCTTCTTTTCAAACTCGCTGCATTTTTCACATTTGCCTATCTGCATGAGCTGTCTTTCCGGCCCCACCCACCTTCATTCCTGCAGTGAGTCTCGGGTCTGTTTTTCTCCGAGTTTCTATCGGCCTCAAAGCTCTTTTTCATCTGTGCTTGTTGCAACGCCAGGTGGCATCCTACGTGGCACCCTTTGATTCGCTGCTGGACGAGGCAATCACCAAGGGCCAGTCGGATAAAGACATGCTCACCCGCCTCCTGGGTGCGTATACCTTCTTCTCGCTCCTTTTTCCCCACCCTTTCACTATGAAATGAGCGTGTTTCCCTCCATCTTTTCGCTCACTGCCTCTCCCTCTCTCTGGTGCTGCATCACTCTCACCAAGGCCATGTCACACAAGGGCATACAACCGTAAATCAGTGCAGATTAGAACGAGCTAAGGTTGGTGATCTGGGTCGAATCTACTCTTTTCACCGAGGCCATGTCAGGCAAGGGCATACTTACCCTCATCCCGAGTGCGTCGTTAGTCGAGAGCTAGTTTGGTGAAGGGAAATAGGGATGATATTTTAGTGTTGTTCCCCCCACTTTTTGTCCTTCCCCTTTACACTCAATCTCTTGTCCCTCTCCTCTCCCCCGTCCCTTCCTCCTTCCCTTCCCTCCTGGCAGCGCTCTCCTCCCACCCTCTGCTGCCCAAGGCCCATCCCACCATCACACACCTTCTCCCTCTCTACGCCGCTTCACACACAACACTCATTTTCCCATCCATCTCCTTTTCCCCCTCCCACTCGCCCCCACTCTCCCTGCAGCGCTCTCCTCCCACCCGCTCCTGCCCAAGGCCCATCCCAACATCGAGCACCTTCTCCCTCTCTGCGTCGCTGCTGGTGCTGCCACTGGTGCCTCTGACGTTGATTCCGCTCCATATCCCTCCCTCTGTCCTCTCCTGACCTCCCTCCCTGCAGCGCTCTCCTCTCATCCGCTCCTTCCCAAGGCCCATCCCACCATCGAGCACCTTCTCCCTCTCTACGTTGCTGCGGGTGCTGCCACTGCCAATACTGCACCTTCTAACGAGGATGGAAACGCCTCCGGAGGATGCGGATCTCAGCCGTCCGTTGCCCCACAGAAGCTCTTCGAGATGCACATCTGGACTCTCAGCAACGCGGCCTTCAGCTTTGGAGATATGCCTAAGGAGAAAGCAGCAGCTTAGGGTAGGACAATCAGTGTTTGAGGCGCCGGTCACTACAGTGTGCTGGTTGAATGCCTCAGGCGGAGGGGTGGGGGTTAGGGACATCCCATCACAGCCGTCCATTGCCCCTCACAAGCTCTTCCAGATGCACATCTGGACACTCAGCAATGCGGCCTTCAGCTTTGGATATATGCCAAGGGAGAAGCTAGAAGCATTGGCATAGACTGTTCTTTGGCATGTTAAATTGTGTATGCTCAGCGTTGCAAAAGGGAATGATATGCTTTTTATGTTAATTTGTTACGTGCCTTATATGTGTTGCTTTGTTATGTTATTAGAACGTGTTCTTTCTCATTGTGTACTCATATATCTACCACTACCACTTCTGTAGACACAAGTATGCATGGAGCCATCCATAGTACCCACTAAATAGCTGCTTTGAAGCTGCCTATACTGAATGAGCAAAAATGCGCTTCTAAAACCGCAAGGAGAGCCGGCAAAATGAGAATTCATACTTCAGGGAACACTTAAACGCTGAAAACTGAGCATGTGAGGGCCTTAAGGACCTGTGACAGCACGTCAGCCGGTCACCCTATGAGGATAGGCAATATAACCACAAATACAGCTGCCAATATCCTGTACAAACTTGAGTGAGTGCCTGAGGCTGCTGAACACAAGGGACAGACAAGATTCGAGGGCAGGCAGAGGAGAAGGTGAGAGCATATTTGGATAAAAATTAGTGCCACGTTTTGAATTGACTTGACTCACAAGGTCAGCCCCTCTCCTCGCTTCACTTCTCGCTTCACTTCTCGCTTCCTCTCCTCGGTTCATATCCCCAACTCACCCTCTCCTCACCTCCTTTTTCCTACAGCACACAGGTGGTCTGGCAGTTCTGCAGCTTTGACATATGGCAGCAACACATGAAACCCCCTCTTCTTCTCACCACCTCCCTTTTTCACTCCCTCCCTTCACCCGCCTCTCCTCTCCTCAAGTCCTCACCTCCTTTCCTGTAGCACGGGGCACAGAAGGTCGGGCAGTAATTGCAGCCTCAACACATGGCAACTGAACATGTGCCTCTCCTCTCTGTACCACCTCACTGCCTCCTGTCTGCACCTTCCTTCTCACCCCAAACCCCACCTTCCTTCTCACTCCCTCTCCTCACCTCCTTTCCCATAGCAGGGCGCACAGAAGGTCGAATAGTTCTTGCACCCTCTCACACACATGGCAGCAACACATGAAACTTCCACTTCTTCTCCTCACCTCCGTTTTCCAGTCCCTCCCTCCCCTCACCCCCCTCTCCTCACCTGCTTTCCCGCGGCACGGCGCACAGAAGATCGGGTAGAAATTGCACATGGCAGCAGCACATGTGGCTTGCTATCCTCTCTCGCATCCTTCGCACTCCCTTCCATCACCTCGACTCACTCCCTCTCCTCACCTCCTTTCCCATAGCACGGAGCACAGAAGGTCGGGCAGCTCTTGCAAAACGCGGTGGTGCTTTTCTGGGGCACCACGCAGTTTCCATCGGTCGGGCAGGACAGAAAATTTCTGTCGTAGTCCCTGTAGCAGCGGGAAAGGAGGGAATAGGCAGGACCGAAATGAAAGGAGAAACATAATCAGCATAGGTGCTGGAGAAGGGGCAGAGGAGGTGGAACACTCACAGCAGAGTGCACACATGAATAGAGAAGCGAGCAGAGAGCAGAGGACATAGATAAGAAAGCACTCACAGCAGGGTGAGCTTGGTGAGAGAGCCGAGTGTGGCAGGCAGGATTCCTGCCATCCGGTTGCCTGACATGTTGCTGGGGGATGGGAAACAGAGGGGTGCAGGGCGGTTGCAGTCGGTGAGGATGGGTGTGATGGTGTTACCAAGGGTGGCTCTTCAGCTTGACAAGGTTAGGTTACACATGCCGGTGGTCTGGATTGGCCCCTGCAGACGGTTGTTACCGCATCACACCTCGTATCCCCACATCACCACCACCACTCACAGGGTCGTCAGCTTGAAAAGGTTAGGCTACCCATGCTGGTGGTTGGGATTGGCCCCTGCAGCTGTTCGGTTGGAGATCATTCCTCTCACCCACCTCTCGCCTTACTCATTATCCCCATGTTACCGCATCACACTCCTTATCATCGCACACCACCACCAATCACAGGGCTGTCAGCTTGACAAGATCACCCATGGTAAACGGAACTGGCTCCTCCAGGCGATTGTTACCGCATCACACTCCTTATCACCGCACACCACCACTCACAGCGCTGTCAGCTTGACAGGGTTGCCCGTGGTGGACGGGACTGGCCCCTGCAGGCAATTGTTACCACATCACACCTCGTCTCACCACACACCACCACTCACTGCGCAGTCAGCTTGACAAGATTGGCCATGGTGGACGGGACTGGCCCCTGCAGGCAGTTGGCACTCATTCCTCTCACACGCCTTCCGGCCTGCTCATTATACCCCATGTTACCGCATCACACCTCGTGTCACCGCATCACACCGCGCACAACCACTCACAGCGCCGTCAGCTTGACAAGGTTGCCCATTGTGGACGGGACTGGCCCCTGTAGGCGATTGACGCCCATTCCCCTGGCAGAAGGGAGGAAAGGTGTGCAGGGGGCGGGGGAGGAGGGATGATGGAAGGGGGATGTATGGTGTTAAGGGGGGGATATGGTGGAATGAATAGGCACCTACAGGCGGTTGAAGCTCATCAATTTGAGTGTAGTGAGGTGTATTTTGAGGCGCCTCAAAATACACCTCACTATATGGTGGAATGAATCGGCACCTACAGGCGGTTGAAGCTCATTCTTTTGATAGACGGGGAGAGAATGAGTGTGAAGGGGGAGGGGAGCGACGGTGTATAGGAAGAGGGGAGCGGATGGTAAAGATGGTGCAGGTACAGTACAGGACTCGTTTCCCTTAGCATAAACGAGGAGGGGTTAAAAAAGGTTGGAGGAGGCGAAAGTAGACTAGTAGTGGTGAGTCACAGGTAAGGAGGCTGACTCACAGACATGAAATGCTGACTCACAGATGCTGGGTGCTGACTCGCAAACACAAGATGCTGACTCACAGGTACTCGAGGCTGACTAGGTTCATGATGGAGTCGGGTATGAATCCATTGAAGCGATTCTCCGACAGCAGGCTGCAGGGGAAAGAAAAGGAAGAGGGGATTAAGGGAAGAACGGAACAAGGGAGTGGAGGAACGGGCGGGCTTGGCCTGACTAGGCTTGTTATGGAGCCGGGAATGAATCCGCTGAAGCGATTCTCCGACAGCAGGCTGCAGGGGGAAGGAAAGGAAGAGGGGAGTAAGGGAAGACGGAAGGACGGGAACCTCAGAATCAAGGAGGGAGACGGGCAGACAGCCGTGGGCAAGGGAACAAGGGAATCAAGGGAATCAAGGGAACAAGGGAACAAGGGAACAAGGGAACAAGGGAACAAGGGAATCAAGGGAACAAGGGAACAAGGGAACAAGGGAACAGGGGAACAAGGGAACAAGGGAACAAGGGAACAAGGGAACAAGGGAACAAGGGAACAAGGGAACAAGGGAACAAGGGAATCAAGGGAACAAGGGAATCAAGGGAACAAGGGAACAAGGGAACAAGGGAACAAGGGAACAAGGGAATCAAGGGAACAAGGGAACAAGGGAATCAAGGGAACAAGGGAACAAGGGAACAAGGGAACAAGGGAACAAGGGAACAAGGGAACAAGGGAACAAGGGAACAAGGGAACAGGGGAACAAGGGAACAAGGGAACAAGGGAACAAGGGAACAAGGGAATCAAGGGAACAAGGGAATCAAGGGAACAAGGGAACAAGGGAATCAAGGGAACAAGGGAACAAGGGAACAAGGGAACAAGGGAACAAGGGAACAAGGGAATCAAGGGAACAAGGGAACAAGGGAACAAGGGAACAAGGGAACAAGGGAACAAGGGAACAAGGGAACAAGGGAACAAGGGAATCAAGGGAACAAGGGAACAAGGGAACAAGGGAACAGGGGAACAAGGGAACAAGGGAACAAGGGAACAAGGGAACAAGGGAACAAGGGAACAAGGGAATCAAGGGAACAAGGGAATCAAGGGAACAAGGGAACAAGGGAACAAGGGAATCAAGGGAACAAGGGAACAAGGGAACAAGGGAACAAGGGAACAAGGGAACAAGGGAACAAGGGAACAAGGGAACAAGGGAACAAGGGAACAAGGGAACAAGGGAATCAAGGGAACAAGGGAACAAGGGAATCAAGGGAACAAGGGAACAAGGGAACAAGGGAACAAGGGAACAAGGGAACAAGGGAATCAAGGGAACAAGGGAACAAGGGAACAAGGGAACAGGGAACAAGGGAACAAGGGAACAAGGGAACAAGGGAACAAGGGAACAAGGGAACAAGGGAACAAGGGAACAAGGGAACAAGGGAATCAAGGGAACAAGGGAATCAAGGGAACAAGGGAACAAGGGAATCAAGGGAACAAGGGAACAAGGGAACAAGGGAACAAGGGAACAAGGGAACAAGGGAACAAGGGAACAAGGGAACAAGGGAACAAGGGAACAAGGGAATCAAGGGAACAAGGGAACAAGGGAATCAAGGGAACAAGGGAACAAGGGAACAAGGGAACAAGGGAACAAGGGAACAAGGGAACAAGGGAACAAGGGAATCAAGGGAACAAGGGAACAAGGGAACAAGGGAACAAGGGAACAAGGGAACAAGGGAATCAAGGGAACAAGGGAACAAGGGAACAAGGGAACAAGGGAACAAGGGAACAAGGGAACAAGGGAACAAGGGAATCAAGCAGCAAGAGGGCTTGGGCTGACTGGTTTTATGGTGGAATCGGGTATGAAGCCATTGAAGCGATTCTCTGATAGCAAGCTGTAGAGGAATGGGGGTGGTAGGGTAGGAATGAGAGGAAGGGGTGGTTGGATGGAATGGCCAGAGCGTTCATAATGAGTAAGGTAGGAAGCCGTTGAAGCGATTCTCTGATAGCAGCCTGCAGAGGAAGCGAGAGAGGGGAGCAAGAAGGGGGGTGGTGGGGAGTGGTCGAGGGGGGCGGTGGGGAGTGGTCGAGGGGGGTGGTGGGGAGTGGTCGAGAGGGGTGGTGGGGAGTGGTCGAGGGGGGTGGTGAGGAGTGGTCGAGGGGGGTGGTGGGGAGTGGTCGAGGGGAGTGGTGGGCTTGGGCTGACGAGGCTCGTGATGGAGTCGGGTGGTGAATCCTTGAAGCGATTCTCTGATACTAGGCTGCAAGGGAGGGGAAGAGAGGGGTGGGATGAGTAAGCCTGCAGGGGAAGAAAGAAGGATGGGAAGGGAGTCAGCGAGTGGATGGGCGAGGGACAGAGAACTCAAAATGGCATCTGGCAGGCAGAAAGAGGAGAGGGAGGGTCCTAAAGTTTCGTCCTCCCTAAAGTTGATCCCACAGTTGCTGCTCGTCGACAGTGGGATCCCCACCAGGGAGGAGGAAACTCGCGAGGAAGTCACTCTGCCACACCCCCCATCTCCATCTAGCATCCGACTTTTTAAGTGCCTCAAAGATACTCACCAGGGAGGAGGAAACTCACGAGGAAATCACTCTGCCGCACCCCCCAATCACCAACTCACAGATGCTCGAGAGATGAGAGGGAGGAGATGGAGCGAGGGATGGGGTGTGAGGCTTGAGCAGCATGGGAAATCCAGAATTGAGGCTACTCACAAGTCAGTCACACAGCCGCCCACTCATCACCAACTCACAGATGCTCGAGAGCAGAGAGGGAGGAGATGGAGCAAGGGATGGGGCGTGAGGTTTGAACAACAGCGGGCAATCCTGAAGTTGATCACCCTGTTGCTCTAGTCAATCTCCAACAGTGGACTCCTTACCAGGGAGGAGGAGACTCACACGTCAACCACCCTGCGGCACCCCCATCACCAACTCACAGATGCTCGAGAGCAGAGAGGGAGGAGATGGAGCGAGGGATGCTGCCTGCGAGCTTGTTGCCTCGGAGGTCTCTGGTGGGGTAAGGTGGTGGAGTGAAGAGATCGAAGATAAGAATGATGGGAGATGGGGAGAGAGTATTAGGGCCTCTAATTCAGGGGCTCCTGACCCGAGAGGGAGGAGATGGAGCAAGGAGAGAGTATTAGTAGAAATATGCCGCCTGCGAGGCTTGTTGCCTCGGAGGTCGCTGGTGGGGTGGAAAGAGGCAGGGGAGAGTGGAACCCCCATTCAGGAGAGTGGAAGGAGATGGGGAGATGGGAGGCGGGGAGATGTTATTAGGGACTCCTGTGCGGAGAGGGAGGAGATGAAGCGAGGGATGGTGCCTGCAAGCTTGTTGCCTCGGAGGTCTCTAGTGGTTGTGGATAGGCAGGAAAGGGGGAGGATGGGATGGGAGACAAAGGTAGATGCCTGAGAGCAGACAGAGTAGGAAATGGGGCGAGGGATGGTGCCTGCAAGCTTGTTGCCTCGGAGGTTGCTGGTGGGGTGGGAAATGGCAGGAAGGGGTGTGGATCGAGAGATAACAGCAGGGACGAAGCATGGAGAAACGGCGATGGCATGGCAGGGTCACAGATGCTGCCTGCAAGCTTAAAGATGTTGCCTCGAAGGTCTGTGGTGGGTGTGGAGAGACATGAAGGGGGGAGGATGGGGAGAGAACAGCAGGGACGAAGCATGGAGAAACGGCGATGGCAGGGTCGCGGCAAGGCAGGGCACAGGCAGGGTCAAGGCTGAGTGTGTGTGACTCACAGTGTCTTGAGGGGAAGAGCCTGGTTGCCTGTGACAGAAAAGGAAGTGCGTGTGATAGTAACGAGGTCAAAGCAAGCAGTCTTTCCTGGCTGCGACTCACAGTGTGTTGAGGGGAAGAGCCTGGTTGCCCATGACAGAAAAGGAAGTGCGTGTGAAAGTAACGAGGTCAAAGCAAACAGTCTTTCCTGGCTGCGACTCACAGTGTCTTGAGGGGAAGAGCCTGGTTGCCCGTGACAGGGAAGGTGCCTTGAAGGCTGTTCCCTCCCAGGCCGCTGCAAGGGAAGGTGGGAACACACGCAGGAGAAGAGGAATTGAGTCAACTTAAAACACACATTGAGTCTTCTCGAAACAATCCGTGAGGGGAAGAGCCTGGTTGCCCGTGACAGGGAAGGTGCCTTGCAGGCTGTTCCCTCCCAGGCCGCTGCAAGGGAAGGTGGGAACACACGCAGGAGAAGAGGAAGTGAGTCGACTTAAAACACACATTGAGTCTTCTCGAAACACTCCGTGAGGGGAAGAGCCTGGTTGCCCGTGACAGGGAAGGTGCCTTGCAGGCTGTTCCCTCCCAGGCCGCTGCAAGGGAAGGTGGGAACACACGCAGGAGAAGAGGAAGTGAGTCGACTTAAAACACACATTGAGTCTTCTCGAAACACTCCGTGAGGGGAAGAGCCTGGTTGCCCGTGACAGGGAAGGTGCCTTGCAGGCTGTTCCCTCCCAGGCCGCTGCAAGGGAAGGTGGGAACACACGCAGGAGAAGAGGAATTGAGTCGACTTAAAACACACATTGAGTCTTCTCGAAACAATCCGTGAGGGGAAGAGCCTGGTTGCCCGTGACAGGGAAGGTGCCTTGCAGGCTGTTCCCTCCCAGGCCGCTGCAAGGGAAGGTGGGAACACACGCAGGAGAAGAGGAATTGAGTCGACTTAAAACACACATTGAGTCTTCTCGAAACACTCCGTGAGGGGAAGAGCCTGGTTGCCCGTGACAGGGAAGGTGCCTTGCAGGCTGTTCCCTCCCAGGCCGCTGCAAGGGAAGGTGGGAACACACGCAGGAGAAGAGGAATTGAGTCGACTTAAAACACACATTGAGTCTTCTCGAAACACTCCGTGAGGGGAAGAGCCTGGTTGCCCGTGACAGGGAAGGTGCCTTGCAGGCTGTTCCCTCCCAGGCCGCTGCAAGGGAGATTGAGCAAGCACGAGAGAGGAGGTTTTAAGTCGAATCGAAACACATCTTGAGTTGTCTCGCAACACATCTTCGCGGCTTTTGGTGAAGAGCCTGGTTGCCCGTGACAGGGAAGGTTCCTTGCAGGCTGTTTCCTCCCAGGCCGCTGCAAGGAAAGGTGGGGAAGCATGAGAGGAAGGGAGAAGAAGAGAACAAAAGAACCCCATTACTCTCCATTTCCCTGTGCTTGGACAAGGGGAGGGAGAACTGGTTGCAGACTCCCTGTGCTTTCTTGAACTTGAACTACAACTCTTGTGTGTGTCACATGTGATAATCCGCAAAAGTGACAGTCGAACGCGACGGGTCTTCCTTGTGTGGTTGTGAAGGGTAACAAAGGCGGGTGAAGCAGTGGCGCGTTTTGGCATTACTGGAGGGTGGGTGTAGCGTGGTTGTCAGTGGCACTAACAAGCATGACACTAACGTAAAAGGCGGTACAGGTAGGTGGTTGTAGGGAAAGCGTGAAGTAACTCTAACAAGTGTGACATTATCGAGAGAGGCATTACAGGTAGGTGAGTGCAGGGAAGCCGTCAAATACAGGAACAGAGCCATTGAGCTTGTTGCTTGCAAGGTTGCTGCAGAGGAGAGGGGGAGAAAGAAGGAGGGAAAGGGCGAGAGAGGAAGGAAGATTGTGAATCAATACAAGCGGAAACCTAAAGATGGGAACAGCCGTTGAGCTTGTTGATTGCAAGGTTGCTGCAGGGGGAGAAGGATGTGGGGTAGAGGAGGGTGGGGGGGAGAGAGAGGAGGAGAGGAAGCGAATCACTGATTCACCTTTAAGTGAATTGTGGAATATGGGAACAGAGCCGTTGAGCTTGTTGCTTGTAAGGTTTCTGCAGAGGAGAGGGACGCGGAATGGTGACAACTGTGAGTCAAGTTAAGGTTTTCATTACACATCGGAACAGAGCTGTTGGGGGGGATTTTTGCTGATGGAACTGGGGATGGTGATTCTGAGGTGACTCAGAATCAGTATCATATCAAATATTTAGAGAGAATATATATACATACAATAAATTTAGAACAAAAATGAACTCACAGGTAGGTGAGGCCGGTGAGGTTGGTGATGGAACTGGGGATGCTGTTCTCCAAAGCATTGTATTGAAGATCACTGTAACGAGGATAACGGGCAGGGAAGATGAGTGAAAGGTGGTGGGGGAGGGCTTTAAGGTCGGTGGTGGAACTGGGGGTTGATCTGTGAGGTTTGAAAGAACAGAGAAATGATGAAGGGTGTGGGATGGGGGCGAGGGGAGGTTTGAGGTGGGGTGTTTAGAGGGGGTGAGACGGACAACAGGGGCGGAAAGGCGTGAGGGGAAACCAGGAGAAAAGGGGGGATTAAACGAGGGAAAGAGGGGGAGGAAGATTAGGATGATGACGTGAGGGAGAGCGAGCAACGTACAGCCATGTGAGGGAGAGTGAGCAACGTACAGCCATGTGAGGGAGAGTGAGCAACGTACAGCCATGTGAGGGAGAGTGAGCAACGTACAGCCATGTGAGGGTTGAGAGTGATCCCAGTGTTGATGGCAGGGACGCAGATACGTTGTTCTTGGACAGATCTCTGGAGAGGCAGGGGTCAACGGGGAAGCAGGAAGTGGGGGAGGCGCGGAGAATGACTTGTGAATGCAGGTGAGGGGTGCGAGTGATCCCAGTGGCTGTCAAGAGAGGACAGGTGGGCTTTTGCAAGCCTTCATCAGTACAAGCCTTCATCAGTACAAGCCTTCATCAGTACAAGCCTTCATCAGTACAAGCCTTCATCAGGTGAGGGGTGTGAGTGATCCCAGTGTGGACGCCAGGGATCCAGATACGTTGTTCTTGGACAGGTCCCTGCACCGCGAGGGGTAGACTTTTGAGTCGACTCAAAAGCAGACTCATTACACGCGGTTTCTACATTGAAAAGTTATTTGGACGGCAGGAATCTAGATACGTTGTTCTTGGACAGGTCCCTGCACCGCGAGGGGTACAGGGGAGAGCACACGGGGGAGAGCGGAGAGGATGAAGAGTGAAGTGAATGCACTTGGGGAGGTGAAAGGAGAGAGTGTCTCAGTTTTGACAGCAGGAATCTAGATACGTTGTTCTTGGACAGGTCTCGTCTCTGGACAGCGAGGGGCACATGGGGGGATGAAGTGGAACTGAAGTGGAAATGAAGTGGAAATGAAGTGGAACTGAAGTGGAAATGAAGTGGAACTGAAGTGGAAATGAAGTGGAAATGAAGTGGAAATGAAGTGGAAATGAAGTGGAAATGAATGGCACAGGGATCCAGATACGTTATTCTTGGACAGGTCTCTGGGGAGCAAGGGATGAAGGGGGAAAGCAAAAGGGGGAGAGCGGAGAGGATGAAGAGTGAATGCAGCGGGAGAGAGTGATAGAGAGTGATTCAAGTGTGAACGGCAGGGAGCCAGCCAGCGTCCCTGTGAGCTGGTTGTGCTGATTATCGTTGGAGCAGCTCACAGGTACCGATGACTTGTATCTAACCACACACATATCGTGATACCCAGCGTAATCACTCACAGAAACTGCAGCTGCTTGAGGTTCCCCAGACCAGCCGACAGCGTCCCTGTGAGCTTATTGTTATTGTGAGGCAATAACTTGTATTGTAACTAGCCACTTGCAAATACTGATATTCGCCATTGTAGTGACTCACAGGAACTGCAGCTGCTTGAGGTTCCCCAGACCAGCCGACAGCGTCCCTGTGAGCTTGTTGTCGCCCAAATTCCTGGGAAAAAAAAAACAAACAAACAAAAAAAGTGGCAAACAAAAACTCAAACACACAAACCTTTTGCGTGAAGTTTGGAGAATAGTACAGGGGAGTAAGTGGAAAGTGACATGTGGAGGCAGAGGGAGTGGGGCCACGACAGGCAGAGAGAGTGAGGAGGTGAGGAAAGAGGGAGGGGAGCACTCACAAGAAGGTGAGGAGTGAGAGTGTGTCAAGGAAGAGAGGAAGCGGGCCTGTGAGCATGTTGATGCCCAGATTGCTGTGATGGGTGGGAGGAGGGGAAGGGGTGAAAGGGAAGCGAATGGAGGGAGCGAAATGGAGAGAGAGGACTTCTAGTCGACTGGAAGGGTGTGGAGGAAGAGAGGAAGCGGGCCTGTGAGCATGTTGATGCCCAGATTGCTGTGATGGGGGAAGGGAACGGAGAGGGGAGAAAGGGTATAAGAGAAGGCAGGGGATGGGATGAGAGGAAACAAAAAAGGGACAAGGGAGAGGAGGGAGGAGAAAACGAATGAGAAGCTGGGGGAATAGAGGGCATGATCTTAGCTTGGTGCGGAACGGTGGATACACACACCACAACAGTTCCTGAGGATAGAGCTGCGTTTTGACTAGAACTGGGCGGGCAGCACAGCGGATGGGTAAAGGCACAGGGCAGCACAGCGCATGCTTGCAGGTGCTGAAGGGAGCAGAACGGTGGATACACACACCACAACAGTTCCTGAGGATAGAGCTGCGTTTTGACTAGAACTGGGCGGGCAGCACACGGCGTCACAGAGCACACAGAATGGGGTAGACGCAGCACAGGGCAGCACACGGCATGCTCACAGGTGCTGCAGGTTGGTGAGAGCGCCAAAGGTGGTGGGGATGTCGCTGTCGAGGTTGTTCTGAAAGAAGTTGCTGTGAGGAGAGGGATGAGGAGGTTAGGGCCGAGGGGTTGAGAAGGGCGAACGGGGAGAGGTACAGCGGAGAGGATGGGATGGGAGGTGATGGGAGTGCTGGCAGGACAGGTGGTGGGGATGTCACTGTTGAGATTGTTCTGAAAGAAGTTGCTGGGAGGAGAGGCAAAGGGGAAAGGAGGAGAGGGGCGAAAGGGGGAGGGGAGGGGCGAGCTTGTGAGAGGGCGGATAGGCAAGGAAATGCAAGGTGGTGGGATTGTGAGAGCGCCAAAGATGGTGGGATTGTGAGAGCGCCAAAGGTGGTGGGGACGTCACTGTCCAGGTTGTTCTGAAAGAAGTTGCTGGGGAAGTGATGAGAGGGGAGAGGGGAGGGGAGGGACGAAGTGGGGAGGGAAGGGCGAGGGCCGAACCGGAGAGAGGGTGGGGCGGATTGGCAAGGGGATGCAAGGTGATGGGATTGTGAGAGCGCCAAAGGTGGTGGGGACGTCACTGTCAAGATTGTTCCGATAGAGGTTGCTGGGAGCAGAGGGGCGAAGGGGTGGAGGGACGGATTGGGGGAACTGATGAGGGACAAGGTGGTGGGACTTGTGGACGCCCCAATGGTGGTGGGGACGTCACTGTCAAAGAGGTTGGTCTGAAAGAGGTTGCTGGGAGGAGTGATGAGGACGGGAGGGGAGGAGAGGGCGAGGCAGTGAGAAGAGCGGATAGGCAAGAGCATGCAAGGTGGTGGGATTGTTAGAGCCCCAAAGGTGGTGGTGATGCCACTGTTAAGATTGTTCCGAAAGAAGTTTCTGTAAGGAGAGGGGCGAGATGAGGAGTGGTTGAGGGGAGGAGAGGGGTGAGGGAGAGGAGGGGTGAGGGAGAGGAGGGGTGAGGGAGAGGAGGAGGAGTGAGGGAGAGGAGGGGTGAAGGAGAGGAGGGGTGAGGGAGAGGAGGGGTGAGGGAGAGGAGGGGTGAGGGAGAGGAGGGGTGAGGGAGAGGAGGGGTGAGGGAGAGGAGGGGTGAAAGAGAGGAGGGGTGAGGGAGAGGAGGGGTGAGGGAGAGGAGGAGTGAGGGAGAGGAGGGGTGAGGCGAGGGATGGGTAGAGGGGCAGGAATGGATGAAGGGAAGGGAAGGATGAGAGGAAGGGAAAGAAGAAGGTAGGGCATCGGAGGGGTGAGGGATGGGGGGTGGTGACGGGAGGGGGGTGAGGGAAGGGGTAGGAAGTGTGTTTTGAGTCGACTCAAAACACACAGGGATGGGGGGTGGTGACGGGAGGGGGGTGAGGGAAGGGGTAGGAAGAAGGGGGAGGGGAGAAGAAGGGAGAGGGGTGAGGGGATGAGCGGAGACTAGGAGTGAGGTGTGGGGCGGGGGTGAGAGCAGTGCACAGAGAGGAGTTATCATTGCACATGCGCTCAGCCCCGTGCAAGCTACTCTTGCAGTGATTTCTGGGATGTGACTATCACGGATGCAGCCATGGGCCAGTGGGGCCTGATCTGAACAGTGCGAGGTTACTTTTGAGGCGCCTCAAAAGTTAATATTGCACAGATTTCAGCCCCATGCAAGCTACTCTTGCAGCGATTGTTGGGATGTGACTATATGGGATGCAGCCGTGGGCCAGTCTGGCCTGACATGAGCAGTGCGAGGTTACAGGTGCGTTGAAATGGTTGAGGCCTTTCGAAAGAGAATCCTGTGTTATAGCTTACAGGTGGGTCAGCAGAGTCAGGTTGCCGATGGACGACGGCAGCTCCCCTGCCAGGCTGATTTGAGAATTCTCAAATTCAACCTCAGAGAGTCCTGTGGTAAAGCTTACAAGTGCGTTGAAATGCTGAGAGCTTTCGAAAGAGAATCCTGTGGTGAAGCTTACAGGTGGGTCAGCAGAGTCAGGTTGCCAATGGACGACGGCAGCACCCCTGCAAGAGACGACATCTCCATTGACCTGAGGGGAAGAGAAGGGAGCGTGTGTGGTTGGAGAGGGGGGAGAGCAGCGAAAAGGGAGCTGGTCGGTCAGATGCATGGGGTGCGTCGGGTTGCTGATGGATGACGGCAGCACCCCTGCAAGAGACGACATCTCCATTGACCTGAGGGGAAGAGAAGGGAGCGTGTGTGGTTGGAGAGGGGGGAGAGCAGCGAAAAGGGAGCTGGTCGGTCAGATGCATGGGGTGCGTCGGGTTGCTGATGGACGACGGCAGCACCCCTGCAAGAGACGACATCTCCATTGACCTGAGGGGAAGAGAAGGGAGCGTGTGTGGTTGGAGAGGGGGGAGAGCAGCGAAAAGGGAGCTGGTCGGTCAGATGCATGGGGTGCGTCGGGTTGCTGATGGACGACGGCAGCACCCCTGCAAGAGACGACATCTCCATTGACCTGAGGGGAAGAGAAGGGAGCGTGTGTGGTTGGAGAGGGGGGAGAGCAGCGAAAAGGGAGCTGGTCGGTCAGATGCATGGGGTGCGTCGGGTTGCTGATGGACGACGGCAGCACCCCTGCAAGAGACGACATCTCCATTGACCTGAGGGGAAGAGAAGGGAGCGTGTGTGGTTGGAGAGGGGGGAGAGCAGCGAAAAGGGCGCTGGTCGGTCAGATGCATGGGGTGCGTCGGGTTGCCGATGGACGACGGGAGCACCCCTGCAAGAGACGACATCTCCATTGACCTGGCGGGGGATGGGGTTTAAGGGAGGAAGACGGGGGAGAGCAGGGAAGGGAGGATGATTATGCCCATGGCTGAAGTTGCCTGTAGACAACGGCAGCACCCCTGCCAGCAACGACATTTCCATTGACCTGGCGGGTATAGGGGGGGTGAGGTGGGTGGGTGGGTGGGTGCGTTGTGTGACGTGTCAGGAAACTGGAAGACGACTTCTCAGCATGGCTGCCAGGGGCGACTTCGTATGTTGAGTCGACTCGAAACACGTATAAGGGGGGTGAGGGGGGTGGGCGGGTGGTTGGGTGCGTTGTGCGATGTGTCATGAAACTGGAAGACGACTTCTCAGCACGGCTGCCAGGGACGATATCTCCATGGCCCTGGCGGGGACAAGGGTGTAGGGGGAGGGGGGGGGGAGCGGGGGGAGAGGGAGGTGGGGAGCGGGGAGGGGGAAGAGAGAGGGAAGGTGGGGTGAGTGGGCTGCGTCAGGAGGCCCATAGACGAGAGCAGCACGGCTGCCAGGGGCGATATCTCCATGGCCCTGGCGGGGGATAAGGGAGTACGGGGAGGACTTTTGAGGCGCCTCAAAAGGCGATATCTCCATAGCCTTGGCGGGGATAAGGGCGTAGGGGGAGGGGGAGGTGGGGAGGAGCGGGGGGTTGAGAAGGTGGGTTGGTTGTGTGGAGAGGCGGGTGAGGCGCTCACCAAGTTGTCACGAGGCGAGCGCAGCGGCTGCCAGCGACGATATTTCCTTTGGCCTGGTGGGGATGGGAGAGCGGGCGGGAGAAGGGATCCTGTTACAGTCACACTCACATCTTCATGATCGTCCCGTTACTGTCAGACTCGAGTCACTCCTTCACAATTTCCCCGTTACAGTCACGCACTCACATCTTCACAATCATCCCGTTACAGTCACAAACTCACATCTTCACGATCATCCCGTTACTGTCACACTGCAGCCCCTCCGCAGTGGCACAATCCTCCCCCGTGGTCCATCCCGTGAAGTTGCGAATCCACAGCGCCTGACAGTCGAGGAGAACAGGGACTGGGGACGGGATTGGGGGGGGGGCGGGGAAGAGGGGGACTGGGGATGAGGAGTTGTGGAGCAAAGCCCCTCCGCAGTGGCGCAGTCCTCCCCCGTCGTCCATCCCGTGAAGTTGCGGATCCACAGCGCCTGGCAGTCCAGGAGAAACGGGACTGAATAAGCGAGTGCAGGAGGAAGGATAGGGGTTCGGAAGAGGGATTGCAGGGAGAAGTGGCATAGTCCTACACCGCTGACCACGCCGTAGCCTAGAGAGTGTTTTGGGTCGATTTAAATCAGTGTCCTACCGCATTGACCATACCGTGAAGTTACGTGCGACTCGCATTTAGGAAGATTCAAATGGAGGTCTTGAGGGCGAGAGCGGGACAGGGAGCGGAGCAAGGGAGAATGGACTATCGATCACTTTCGAGAATTCTCAAATGCCGTGACTTAATAAGTCAATGAGAACGTGTCTTGACAAGATGATACTCGGATCTCCCTAGCATGAAAACCCGAACGATCACACTTAGAGCATACTCGTGCATGAAAACCCGAAAGCTTGGTTCAATATGGAGTCACGTCAGATGGGAATATGACGGGAAGCAACCTGAGGCACCGCTGGCCTTGACCGTGGAACATCTAACTGGCTATAGAGAATTCTAACAACCAGCTGATTGCACGTGGAAAAATCTCCTTGAGTCCACCAAAATGTCAATCGATATCGCAAGGAGGATCGGCGCAACTCACTTTGCGACGGATCGACTGGCTGCGATCGAACGAAAAGAGAAGAAATCGGAGCTGCGAGAAGCAAAAAGGCGAGAACGAGCAAGGTTCGGTTGACCGCTGATGCTCGGCTACTGCTACTTCGCCTCATTGTTAACCGCGATTTGGCTGCTCTATGGATAGAAGTATCGACCTACAATAAGTTACTGCCAGGACAATTCGGAAACAGAGTGTGTTCGTGCGTAAAGACGACCACCTGAGCAGAAAATGGGGTGGATTGGAGAAAGCTACTGCTACTAAATAAAAGATAACTCTTTTCAACAGGTATGTATCGCCTCATCGAGATCATGGACAGGAAAGCCTGGTTGGGCATTGGGACTGTCGAGTCGCGACGCGACTGTTTTCTGTGAACCTGTCAGTCAAGCGAGGTCCGCACCGCGCGTCAGTCCCGCAAATTTGTGGATCATGGATACATTCCAATGCGACAGTCTACAGGCCGACTCGGTTAGACAACGAGGGTGCAACAATCAGGTCGGAATCAATGTGCGGATTTGACATAATGTATGGATATATCAATTCCAAGGGTCCTACTATTGTTGCGTTTGCTTCCAATCCATCCGTACAATGATTGCCAACCTCCAACTGCAGAACTAAAGAGTTGATGAATTTTTATCCACCTATATACAGCTATCAAAAAGGGTTACCAGTCCCGACCCCCCCTCCCCATCCCCATATGTACATGCAACGCTACTGAAGCAACCTCCAATATTGTCGATGCGTAACCCACGGTTGCACCTGCATTACAGACACCATCTCCACTCAATGGAATTCTGCTCCTTCAAAGCCTCGATGGAATTCCTATCAATAAACCAATAAAATACGAACCTTTCTAACCTGGCTTCTATCACTGTGTACCCCCACCATCTGGTGTGTCTTCAATAAGTCCTCCCCTGTCACCATCCCCCATGCTCTCCACCCTCATAATCTGTTCCTCCAACGTCTCTCCCACACCAATCGCCAGCTCAGAGTCAATCCTAATCGCTCGCTCGTCCACATCGCCACCTGTCAGCTCGGCTCGCATCGCCTTGAGACCTCCAATGATCCGCATCATATCGGGGCGCGATGCGGTCGGCATGGCCGTACAGCTCAGCGCCAGCTCAGCGAGGCGGAGGATGACGTCAGCAGGGCCTTCGAGGCGAGGGTCTTTGAAGGATGCCACGTCATGAGCAGAAACTAGAGGTGCCACCTGTAAGGGAGACAGGGGAGAGAGGAGAGAGAGGAGTGAGAGGAGTGAGAGGGTGGTGGGATTGAAGCTGATTCACACTGGTCTTCAATGTGCCTCAAGACAAATCAACAACGGGTGAGCAGCGCAGCACTGTACATGTTAAAGGATACATATGAATGACAGATGTGTTGCTCACTACTGATTCCTGAGTTGGTCAGCAACCCACCCATGACATGACCCATATCATTAACCTCGTTAGCGAGTCAGCTAAACCATGCCCAAACCGTGAGTGGGGTAGTCAGCTTACTCGTGCTTGGAAGTGAACTGGCAAGTCAACTCACCCATGCCTTGAGGTTGACTCTGCTCGTGTCCTGCTGGGTGCGCACGGCATGCTGTGCTGTTATCACCGCCAGCATCACCACTCCAAAGCTGATAGTGCGCAGTGGGAACACATGGCAAGGCATGTGGGACGAAATCCAGGTATTCATGGAAAGACATGTGGGAATGCAGGGGCACATGTAGGGGAACATGTAGGGGCACATGTAGGGGCACATGTAGGGGCACATGTAGGGGCACATGTAGGGGCACATGTAGGGCACATGTAGGGCACATGCAGGGCAGGGGGCACATGCAGGGCAGGGGGCACATGCAGGGCAGGGGGCACATGACAAGAGAAACAGACGGGGACACGCATGTCGAAAAGCCATGGAAAGACATGTGGGAATGCATGGGCACATGTAGCGGCACATGCAGGTCAGGGGGCACATGACAAGAGAGTACCGTTCTGTACCAGGCTGTACCGCTCTCTGTACCTGTGCACATCAGCCATGGGAGTAGCCTTTTGTAACTTAAAATAAGCGGAGTCCACGTAGCCCGGCATGCCCATCACTCCCATGCGTTTCCTTACTGGACAACACAGCCTCGCACCGCTCTGTACCGCAATGCAACACTCAATACAATGCTGTACCGCACGGTACCACACTGTACAGCTCTGTACATGTGCACATCAGCCATCGGTGTAGCCTTCTGTGACTCGAAGCGGGGTCCACGTAGCCCGGTGTGCCCATCACTCCCATGCACTCTATTACAGGACAACACCGGCTTGCACCACTCTGTACTGCTCTGCACCGCTCTCTACCACTCTGTACTGCTCTGTACCACCTACCTGTGCACATCCGCCATGGGGGTGGCCTTCTGTGACTTGAAGTAAGCGGGGTCCACATAGCCCGGTGTGCCCATCACTCTGGTGTTGCCCACTGTGCTGCCCTCCCCTTCCCTCAGCAGCCCAAAGTCTGCAATCTTGGCCTGGTGGGGACGGGGAAGAGAGGGGGAGGGAAGGGGGTGTGACAAGGGCGGGATAAGGATATATGATAGCTGCATAATGGGGCCGAAATCAAATCTTTAGAACTGGGAAATGGGGTGGCAAGTGATAAACCTTCAGGTATCCTCTCTTAAAAAAAAAAAAAAAAAACATGTTCAATATACTTTGCAGTAACGCATATGTGCACAGAAATATATATTCATCGATATACGCATGTAAATATTTACAGTATTACCTGGAACTTGCACTCAAGGAGGATGTTCGCGGGCTTGATATCCCGATGCACGATGCCAAAGCTGTGTAGATACTCCAAGCCAAGGGATAGTACTTGCACGAAAAAGGTACAACTCTGAGCAAGCTCACATTCATCTTGCCGTCTAGGAGGATGTTGGCGGGCTTGATGTCGCGATGCACGATGCCAAAGCTGTGCAGATACTCCAACCCATGGGCAGCGCCAATGAGGATGTCCACACGCTCGAGCAGGGAGAGCGGCTTCGGTGCCTCTGATGGGAGAAGGGAGGGAGGTGAAAGTAGGGAGCAGATAGTGGTGAAGACTTTTGAGGCGCCTCAAATGCAGATGCTCCAAGCCATGGGCCGCACCAATGAGGATGTCCACACGCTCGAGCAGGGAGAGCGGCTTCGGAGCCTCTGATGGGAGAAGGGAGGGAGGTGAAAGTAGGGAGCAGATAGTGGTGAAGACTTCTGAGGCGCCTCAAATGCAAATGCTCCAAGCCATGGGCCGCACCGATGAAAATGTTCACACGCTCGAGCAGGGAGAGCGCCTTTGGTGCCTCTGATGGAGCAAGGGACGGAGGTGAAAGTAGGGAGCATGCATGAAAGTGCACGATGCCACAGCTGTGCAGATACTGCAACCCATAGGGAGAGTGGCTTTAGTCCCTCTGATGGGAGAAGGGAGGTGAAAGTGTAAGTATTGAGCATTAAGACGTCTCAAAGCTGTGCCAGTGCCCTATCCCATGAGTGGCACCAATGAGAGTGTCCACTCGCTCGGGCAGTGACAGCGGCTTTGGTGCCTCTGATGGAACACGGGAGGAGGTAATCAGGAGCCCCTTGGAATGATGAAACGCAAATCAGGCAAGACAGGCTCATATCACAGGTCGTGTTGATAGATGCTTACCGTCTCCAATCCAAAGGTCGAGATCTTACCGTCTCCGATCCAACGGTCGAGATCTCCGTTCTCCATGAACTCATACACCACCACCTGCTCCATCTCCTCCGTGTCCGCGTTGAAGTCGATGCAGAACCCCAGCAGCCTCACCAGGTTGGGGTGGTGCTTCGATGCCATAGCGTTCACCTGGTGAGATGAGATGATGAGATGAGAGAGTAAGGGGGTGGAGGAATGTGAAAGATGGAGAAGCTGTGAGCGGAGATGCCAACCTTCGATGCCATCGCATTCACCTGGAGTGGGTGACGGAGGAAGGGGAATAGGGGTGCAGTGCGGTGCTGCTGGGTTCATGTCCACGCAGAACCCCAGCAGCCTCACGTGGTGCTTCGGTGCCATGGCGTTCACCTGGTGAAATGAGACAAGAGTATGGGAGAATGGGGAAGCTGGAGACACTCTGAGCGGGGACTTCTGAGTCGACTCAAAAGTCACTTTCACAGCAGACACAACCCCGGCATCAGTCGGGCACACACCCTGGGACCCCACATCAATCCTAACAGGATAGCTACCTTCTTCGGTTGTATGGGTAAAATGTTCAAGGACAGTCAGGCGATCTTGATTGTACAGGACAGTAGAGGCACGTGGTCAGTACCTCTCTCTGAAAATCTTTTTTGTGAGCACTCGAGCGCGAATCATTCACAGCCCACTTTCGATCCGAGGCGCCTTAAAAGTCGTCTTTTTTTAGCACTCGAGCGCGAATCATTCACATCACAGTCCACAGCACAGACAGATCGAAGGGACTGACGCCCCTGTACACATCACCTGTTGAGACGTCTCAGAACTGGGTGCAGTGCGGTGCTGCTGGGAACAGTGCGGTGCTGCTGGGAACAGTGCGCTTACCTCTCTCTGAAAGTCCTTTGTCAGCACTCGAGCTCGCTTCACTGCCCACAGCAAAGTGGGATCGGTTGGGCACACGCCCCGGTACACGTCACCGAAGCCGCCGCACAAGCCACCGCACAAGCCACTGCACGTACCTCCCTCACCTCCCACCCATAGCAGTGCAGTGCGCACTCACCTCCCTTTGGAAGTCCTTTGTCAGCACTCGAGCTCGCTTCACGGCCCACACAACATTCGGATCACTCGGGCACACGCCCCGGTACACGTCACCAAAGCCACCGCTGCCAATGAGATTGCGATCCGACCAGTTGGCAGTGGCGCGCGCCATGTCAGCAAGCGAGTAGCGCTGACACACTTGCGGTGACGTGTCCGCTGCTGCTGACTCGGCGCTGATGTGGCTGCTGCGGCTGCGGCTGCGGCGGCGATATCCTGTGGGAGGCCAACGGGGGCGGGAAAGGGGGGGGAAGAGGAGGAGGGAGGGGGTATATCTCCCCGACGTGATTTTTGATATTAAAATAAAAACAGAAACTCTACGGGCGTGATTTCCTGTGCGAGGAAAAGGGGGGGTAATTCGTTGTATTGCATGATATCACAATGAAGGACCATTTTGGGGCTATTCTTGCCATGCTGCTTTTTGAGGCGCCTCAAAGACCATTTTGGGGCTATTCTTGCCATGCTGCTGCTAGCATAGCAGAGCACCCCGCAGACGAATCACCAGCAGCGCATGCATTGCTGTGTGCATGCGGCGTTTGGGTGAAATGCAACAGTCAAATCAGCCCAACTCACCGCTGTGCTGCAAGCATGGGCATAGCAGAGCACCCCGCGCACGCATCACCAGCAGCACCACCACCAGTAGTAGCAGCAGCAGCAGCACTAGCAGGACTAGCACCACAGCAATGCCAGTCAACTCACCGCCTTTGAAGAATCCGCCCCCACTCCTGGTCCCATCTCCGTGCTGCAAGCATGGCAGAGCGCCCCGCGCATGCATCACCAGCAGCACCACCACCACAAGCAGCAGCACAACAGCAACAGCAATGCCAGCAATGGCTCCCGTGGAAAGAGAAGAGGAGGCGGAGGAGGGGGGCGATGGGGGGTTTGATTCAGGTGCCAGCGGTGGCTCAGGTGGGGGGTTGGTGGATGGAGGGTTGGCAGCTGAGCCTGAGCCTGAGCCTGAGCTTAAGCCTGAGTTATCGATGCATGGGGAGCAGAAGTCAGCACAGGCCTGGCAGAACCCGGTGCTTGCAGTATGATTCACCGCACAATCGGCGGTGCCAGCTGTCGGGCACGATAAACCTGATTGGTCGAAGCTTCTGTGGAGGGAGGGGGCAGGGAAGTGGGGGGTTGGCAGATGGAGGGTTGGGAAGCGAGCCTGAGCCTGAGCCTGAGCCTGAGCCTGAGCCTGAGCCTGAGCCTGAGCCTGAGCCTGAGTTATGGATGCATGGGGAGCAGAAGTCAGCACAGGCTTGGCAGAATCCGGAGCTTGCATTTTGCTTCACCGCACATTCGGTGCCAGCTGTCGGGCACGATAAACCTGATTGGTTGAAGCTTCTGCTTGGGGAGAGAACAAAAAAAGAAAAAAATGAAAGAACAATCAGAACAGAAGGTAATCAGGGAAAAAGAGGGAGCATACTTTGACAAATTTAACTGCTTATCCTGAAGCTGCCCAAATGCCTGATGAATATCAGACTTGCAGAATAAACCGGTGCATTGGCTCCAGGGCTCTACCGTCTTCGTATTGATTAAGCACCTGAAAAATGAACGGCAGGGGCACTATGCGCCTTAACATTTGCGTACATGCTTGCTTCCCATGCGTGTGTGCATGCTTGCACAAAACCTTTCTTACAGGAGAGTTAGATTCGTCAGTCGTCCAAGAACGGGTGGGATGGATCCTGTGAAGTTGTTTTGACCCAGATACCTGTGCTTGTGGCATGCACGCACCATGCATGTGTGTGAGCCATGCACCATGCATGTGTGTGAGCCATGCACCATGCATGTGTGTGAGCCATGCGCCATGCATGTGTGTGAGCCATGCACCATGCATGTGCGTGAGCCATGCGCCATGCATGTGCGTGAGCCATGCACCATGCGAGTTTGTGAGCCATGCACACATGCATGTGTGTGAGCCATGCACCATGCGAGTTTGTGAGCCATGCACACATGCATGTGTGTGTGTATAGCATGTGCCATGCCATGCATGTGCCACATAGCATGTGTGCAATGCAAAACACGATATTACCAAACACGGAAAGATTTAAGGTAACAACGTTCAGAGGCTTAGGGGTTTTAAGACATACAGACAGAGGAAAGAGAGATATGATGTGATGAGATAAGAACGTACAGAGGAAGGAGAGGTATGAGATGAGATGAGGTGAGACGAGATGAGATGAGATGAGATGAAATGAGATGAGATGAGATGAGATGAGATGAGGTGAGATGAGATGAGGTGAGATGAGATGAGATGAGATGAGATGAGATGAGATGAGATGAGATGAGATGAGATGAGATGAGATGAGATGAGATGAGATGAGATGAGATGAGATGAGATGAGATGAGATGAGATGAGATGAGATGAGATGAGATGAGATGAGGTGAGATGAGATGAGGTAACAGCAACGTACAGAGCCTGCATGGCAGCCAAGGACGCCACACTTGAAGACAAAGATCCAGACAGAAGGTTCCCAGAAAGTGACCTGCAAGATATCCCAACAAAAAATAACCGACCGCACGTGTCAACTTGAGGCTGCCAAAGTTGGAGGTGGAGTTGACTTTTGAGTCGACTCAAAAGAAAGTGACTTGCTTTTTGAGACGTCTCAAAAACACCCTCTCTACACGTGTCAACTTTAGGCTACCAAAGTTGGAGGTGGAGTTGACTTTTAAGTCGACTCAAAAGAAAGTGACTTGCTTTTTGAGACGTGTCAAAAACACCCTCTCCACACGCGTCAACTTTAGGCTGCCAAAGTTGGAGGTGGAGTTGACTTTTGAGTCGACTCAAAAGAAAGTGACTTGCTTTTTGAGACGTGTCAAAAACACCCTCTCCACACGCGTCAACTTTAGGCTGCCAAAGTTGGAGGTGGAGTTGACTTTTGAGTCGACTCAAAAGATAGTGACTTGCAAGACATCCCAACGAAGAAGACCCGACCGCACAGGTCAACTTGAGGCTGCCTAAGTAGGAGGTGGAGGTTATATACATATATATATATATATATATATATATATCAAAAGTGTCACAATTAGCTCTGAAATGAAAACGAGTACGAAAACAAGCAAAAAAAACAAACTTCCGGGGCGCCTAACGAATCGCGTTTATTTGGGATTGAGACTGCCCGAACAAATTTTCATTAACAGCTCACAGGGATCGTAGAGCAGAGAGGCCGTAGAGGTGGTTGGGAATAGTCACGTGTATGAAGAAGTGTTTTGAAGCGTCTCAAAACACTTGTTCATATACTAGCGGCTCACAGGGATCGCAGAGAAGAGAGGCCGTAGAGGCGGTTGGGAATGCTGCCTGCCAAAGTGTTGCTGCTGAGGTTCCTGGTGTGTGCGGAGTGAAGGTGAAGAACACACATGCATGTGTTTCTTGTGAGGTTCCTAGAGTGTGTGTGAAGCGAAGGGGAAGAAGAACACATGGGCACGTGTGGAGAACACACAGAAACGTGTGAAAAACACCTACCATGTGGAGAAAGCATCTTTGAGTCGACTAAATAATCGAACAGCGGGAAAGAGCAGGTTAGTGAGAGTTGTTGCAGCCAACGCACCAACCACTCAAAGGTCCAACGAAACACTTCATAAAGGTCCACTCAAATCCTGTTTCGATACAAGTTATATTTTGAGTCGACTCAAAACACTACGCACCGACCACGACAATTCATAAAGGTCCAGTCAAATCCCGTTTCGATACAACAACTTAAGCAGGTTAGTAAGAGTTGTTGAATTGAGCAAAAATGGGTACAGCAGCGCAGCTAGCTACACCTAAACAAAACATTCACCTTGGCTAGTTAAATTACAACCATTACAATTCAGCAAGGCTGGAAAGGTTGCCAATGGATAGTGGAATCAACCCATCAAGCTGATTGGCTGAGAGGTCACTGCCAGCACGCATTCGGAAAGCCAGGCAGAAGACAAACACTCATGAGGCACCTAAAAAATGGACCCATCAAGCTGATTGGCTGAGAGTTTTGAGAATTCTCAAAAGTCGCACCAATATAGCAGAAGACAAACACTCATGAGGCACCTAGAAAATGGACCCATCAAGCTGATTGGCTGAGAAGGTACGCATCCCTTTCACACCTGTTGCTCTTCCCAACCTACAAGAATGCAAGCTCATTGAGTTGGGATATGCCTCCTGGGATTCGACCTCTTAGTCTATTTGCAGTCATGTTCCTGCCATCACAGTTACAACATTGCAGGAATAGGTGTGCAAGAAGAAGCACCCGAATAAGAAACATCTATTCTTACAGCACAAGAATCAAGTAACAAGAAATACTAAAAATAAACACATCATACTTATCTATCTGACTTCAAAATAAAAAACAGCTGAGCCCTTTTGTAGCATGTAAAGATGGAGTAGTATGGGGTGGTCTTGATTCTTCAGGATAAAATAAATGTATATTCATATGGATGGATTAGTATTACAGGTATGAAATGGCAGAAAGAAAAGTGAGCTCCATTGGCAATGTCCCATCCAAGGCGTTGCTCCCAAGATGACTGAAGAGGCATTGCACAGACATCGAAACTAAAGACAACCGAACGGCATTGAAAAGACATTCAAACGTATGAAGTGAGACATTCAAAAGACAACGGAACGGCATTGAATGGCATTCAAATGCATCGGAATGATCGCCGTTGAAAACACATTAAAACAGTGAGGCTCGTTACAGTGAGAATCGTTACAGTGAGACTTGTTACAGTGAGACTCATTATGGTGAGACTCGTTACAGTGAGACTCGTTACAGTGAGAAACGTTACACTGAGACTCGTTACACTGAGACTTGTTACAGTGAAAATCGTTACAGTGAAAATCGTAACAGTGAAACTCGTTACAGCGAGACTCGTTACAGCGAAAATCGTTACAGTGAGGCGAGGTTGGTGAGAAGGCCGAGCGTGGGAGGAATGGAGCCCCCTAAGCTGTTGCTGCTCAGATCTCTGGAATTTAGATAACAGATCGAGCAGAGATTAGGATCAGAAGCAGCACACATTTGGTTCTTGCATGCATGCATGTGTGGACAGTGCATGCATGTGTGGACGGTGCATGCATGTGTGGACGGTGCATGCATGTGTGGACGGTGCATGCATGGTCCTCGCCCAATCTGCATTCTCAACTTGAGAGGCACGAGATGACAGTGCACGCAAGAGCATGGGAGAGAGAGCTTTTGAGTCGACTCAAAAGCAACTTGAGAGGCACGAGATGACAGTGCACGCAAGAGCATGGGAGAGAGAGCTTTTGAGTCGACTCAAAAGCAACTTGAGAGGCACGAGATGACAGTGCATGCAAGAGCATGGGAGAGAGAGCTTTTGAGTCGACTCAAAAGCAACTTGAGAGGCACGAGATGACAGTGCACGCAAGAGCATGGGAGAGAGAGCTTTTGAGTCGACTCAAAAGCAACTTGAGAGGCACGAGATGACAGTGCACGCAAGAGCATGGGAGAGAGGATGACTAGCTGTTCAAGTCAAGAGCCCACCCACCACGTGGCAGTGGGCGCACACACCAACGTACAAGAAACAGACTTGCAAGCTCGTTACTTGAATAGCTGAACTAGTTTACACAATGTTCTGATTCTATAGTGGAGTTTTGATCCATACTGGCTCTCTAAGAAACGTTCTAAGCTCGTGCTTAACCAGGCTCTTTTCCTCCAATAATCCATGGGGTTTGTCTCGTTGTCCTAGAACAACACGAGTTTTTGAGACATTTCAAAACAACATCCCATGGAGTGGGGTTTGTCTCGTTGTCCTAGAACAACACGAGTTTTGAGACATCTCAAAACAACATCCCATGGAGTGGGGTTTGTCTCGTTGTCCTAGAACAACACGAGTGTTGAGACATCTCAAAACAACATCCCATGGAGTGGGGTTTGTCTCGTTGTCCTAGAACAACACGGGTTTTGAGACATCTCAAAACAACATCCCATGGAGTGGGGTTTGTCTCGTTGTCCTAGAACAACACGAGTTTTGAGACATCTCAAAACAACATCCCATGGAGTGGGGCTTGTCTCTTTGTCCTAGAACAACACGAGTTTTGAGACATCTCAAAACAACATCCCATGGAGTGGGGTTTGTCTCGTTGTCCTAGAACAACATGAGTGTTGAGACATCTCAAAACAACATCCCATGGAGTGGGGTTTGTCTCGTTGTCCTAGAACAACACGGGTTTTGAGACATCTCAAAACAACATCCCATGGAGTGGGGTTTGTCTCGTTGTCCTAGAACAACACGAGTTTTGAGACATCTCAAAACAACATCCCATGGAGTGGGGTTTGTCTCGTTGTCCTAGAACAACACGAGTTTTGAGACATCTCAAAACAACATCCCATGGAGTGGGGTTTGTCTCGTTGTCCTAGAACAACACGAGTTTTGAGACATCTCAAAACAACATCCCATGGGGTGGGGTTTGTCTCATTGCCCTAGAACAACACGAGTTGATGGAAATAAGGCCTCCGCAGCTTGCATGTCCGCTTTGAACCCACGGATTGAACCTGCTCACTTACAAGCTCGTGAGTTGAATAGCCGAACCCACGGATTGAGGAATGGAGCCATTCAGGGAGTTGTGACTTAGGTCCCTGCACACACAAACATGGTATAACTTGCTAATTTTTAGGCGCCTTAAAACTACTCAAGTGTTGTGACTTTGGTCCTTGTGCACAGAAACATGGGAATGGGTGGGGTGGGGTGCAAGTGCATGGGAATGGGAGGGGTGGGATAATTGTGCATGCGAATGGGTGGGGTGTGGTACATGTGCATGCGAATGGATGATTCAGAAGACAAGCATGGATCAACACAGGTGCCTATAGGAAGTCGAGGCTGCTTATAACAGAGATCCCTACAGGGACTCGAGGCTGCTTATAAAGGAGATCCCTACAGGGACTCGAGGCTGCTTATAAAGGAGATCCCTACAGGGACTCGAGGCTGCTTATAAAGGAGATCCCTACAGGGACTCGAGGCTGCTTATAAAGGATTCCTACAGGGACTCGAGGCTGCTTATAAAGGAGATCCCTACAGGGAATCGAGGCTGCTTATAAAGGAGATCCCTACAGGGACTCGAGGCTGCTTATAAAGGAGATCCCTACAGGGACTCGAGGCTGCTGAGAGTGAAGATGTCCTTTGGGATGGAGCCCGAAAGCCCAGAGCTGTTCAAGGTGCTGTGGGAGGGACAGCAGGGAGGGAGGAAGAGAGGGAGGCGGGAGGGAGTGAGGGAGGGAGGGAAACAGGGAACAGGGGTTGGTGAGAGTAAAGATGGCTTCGAAATGGGGCCCTCACCTCACGCCCTCAATGGAGCTGTTCAAGGTGCAGTGAGAGGGACGGCAGGGAGGGAGGATGGAGTGAGGGAGTGAGGGAAGAAGGGAGGAGGGAGGAGGGAGTGAGGGAGGGAGGGAAGAAGGGAGGGAGGAGGGAGTGAGGGAGGGAGGGAAGAAGGGAGGGACGGAAGGGAGGGAGGAAGGCAGGGACTTGGGGTTGGTGAGAGTGAAGATGGCGTTTGGAATGGAGCCCAGCCCGGAGCTGTTCAAAGTGCTATGGGCAGGATGGCAGGGAGGGGAGGGAGGAAGGGAGCGAGGAGGGAGGAAGGGAGCGAGGAGGGAGTGAGGGGGTGAGGGAGGCAAGGACTTGAGGGTGGTGAGAGTGAAGATGGCGTTTGGAATGGAATGGAGCCCGCAAGCCCAGAGCTTTTCAACGTGCTGTGGACGGGATATCAGGGAGGGAGGAAGGAGGAAAAGGGGGAAAAGGGAGTAAGGGAGTAAGGGAGTGAGGGAGGAAAGGGAATAAGGAGAGAGTGAGGGGGGACGGGAGGAAGGAGGGAGTGAGGGAGGGAAGGAAGGGGGTGGGAATGAGGGGTGGGAGTGAGGAAGGCAGGATGATGCAATCCCAGACTCCCTGTGAAAACTTCTCCAGTGATGAGTCGTTTTTTTAGTCGACTCTAAAACAGCATGAGGCAATGCAAATCCCAGACTCCCTGTGAAAACTCACGATGTTGGAGCAACCATGCAGAGCAAGCAACAAGGAATGAGCAAGCAACAAGACATGTATACAGCCATAGGCCTGCACCCCATCCCACACGCATCCACTTCATCCCACTCCACGCATCCCACCCCATCCCACTCCACCCCATCCCATTCCACCCCATCCCATTCCACCCCACCCCTTCCCACCTCAACCCACACCACCCCACCTCATCCCATCCCAGTCCATCCCATCCCAGTCCATCCCATCCCAGCACACTCACATGGACACAACCCCCCCGTTAGCGTCACACACGAGCCCCTGAGCTTCAATACAGTCACTCCCTGCCGCCCAGCCTGGAAAGGTCCGCCCCCAGGCCTGCTGGCAACTCTCGAGAACTCCAGCTGGTGATGGGTGTGATGCGATGCGATGCGATGCAGGGTGTTGGAAATGCAACACGCTTAATAATGTTTTGAGACGTCTCCATGCAACACGCTTAGTAACTCCAGTAGAAAGTGCAGGCAACGCATGCACGGTCCGCCCCCAGGCCTGCTGTCAACTCTCTAAGAACTCCAGCTGGTGATGGGTGTGATGCGATGGATGCAGGGTGTGTGTTCAGGTATGTACAAGAAGGCAAGGCAGGGAGCACCAACTGCAGGCAACGCATAAAGAGGTCCCCTCCCCCCAGGCCAGGCCTGCTGGTTTTGAGACGTCTCAAAAAAAGGTCCCCACCCCCAGGCCAGGCCTGCTGACAGGCAGCTCTCGAGAACCCAGGCTGATGATGGGTGTGAAATGAGGACGTGTGCAGGTAGGGTAGGCAAGACAGGGAGCTGAAATAGCAGACGAAGCTCGAAAGGCCCGCCCCCAGGCCAGGGCTGCTGGCAGGTCCCCAGTCCAGCACTCCGGCTGGTGATGGGTATGGTGCGACGCAGTGTGTGTTCGGGTAGGGGAGGCAAAGCAGGGAGCATCAACGCTCTGGGAAACACAACACATTTGAGACAAGTCTAGAGAATGGAAGGTGCGTTTTTGAGACGTCTCAAAAATACACTTTTTACACGTGGCCGCTCTGGGAAATGCAACACATTTGAGACAAGTCTAGAGAATGGAAGGTCCGTCCCCAGGCCTTTTGAGGCCTCTTGAGTCGACTCAAAAGGGAATGGAAGGTCCGCCCCCAGGCCTGCAGGCAGGTCTCCAACGCTCCGGCTGGTGATGGGTGTGGTGCAATGCAGTGTGTGTGCGTGCGGGTAGGGACGGCAAGGTAGGGCGATGCGTGCAGTGTCTTGGAAATGCACCATGTTTGAGAGAGAAGTCTAGAGAATCCAGTCAACGCATGGAAGGTCCGCCCCCAGGCCTGCTGGCAGGTGTCCAACGCTCCTGCTGGTGCTGGGTGTGGTGCGATGCAGAGGGCGTGCCTTGCGGAAGCGTACCTTGGGATTACCTTGGAAAAGCGTCCCTTGGGATTACCTTGAAGAAGCGTACCTTGGGATTACTTTGAAGAACCTTGGGGAAGCGTACCTTGGGAAGCGGAAATCAGCTGAGATGTAGCAAGGAAGGAGGGGTCACGTGGAAGCAGGCCTGACGCAACGAGAAAGATGAGCGCGGCGGAGAGCGGGAGCCGTCGCTCTCTGGAAAATGGTACCTTCAATGTACCTTGGGAAACGGTACCTTGAAAAGCGGAAATCGGCTGAGCAGCAGCAGCAGCAGCAGCAGCAGCAGCAGCAGGGGAGGGTTTACGTGGGAGCAGGCCTGACGCGACGAGAAGGACGAGCGCGAGGGAGAGCGACAGTCCTCGTTCTACCGAACGGCGGACATGCCAGTGCCTTCTGAGTCGACTCAAACCACGTGGAGGCAGGACTGACGCCACGGGAAAGAAGAATGTGAGAGAGAGGACTGCCAGAGGGCTCCATCTCTTGGGAACCAGTACCTTGGAAAACGGTACCTTGAAAGTACCTTGAAAGTACCTTGGGAAACGGGACCTTGGGAAACGGTACCTTGGGAAGCAGAAATCGGCTGAGCAGCAGCAGCAGCAGCAGCAGCAGCAGCAGCAGGGGAGGGCCCACGTGGAAGAAGGCCTGACGCGACGAGAAAGATGAGCGGGACGGAGAGCGGGACGGAGAGCGGGACGGAGAGCGGGACGGAGAGCGGGACGGAGAGCGGGACGGAGAGCGGGAGCCCACGTTCTCCCTGACGGCGGGCTTGCCGGTGCCTTCCGAGTCGACTCAAACCACGTGGAGCCCTCCCAAACGAGCCCTCGCGGGAAGAGCACGACAAAGGTGTTGAGTCGTTCTTCTTCCCCCCGGGTAGCACAGGAGGGGCGCTCCCCTTCCCCGCGGGTGGTGCCAGAAGTGCGCTCCCCTTCCCCGCGGGTGGCACCGGAAGGGCGCTCCCCTTCCCCGCGGGTGGCACCGCACGGGCGCTCCCCTTCCCCCCGGGTGGTACCAGAAGGGCGCTCCCCTTCCCGCCGGGTGGTACCGGACGGGCGCTGCCCTTCCTCGCGGTTGGTACCGTAAGGACAGAGATACGTTCCTCCATTCCGCCCGCCGTTACCAGGTTGACAGTCATGGTAGCTCACTGGTCAGATAACCGGCCTAACAACAAGCTAACCAACTAGCTAAACGGGCAGTCAAGCCCACTGGCTACCTAAACGGCTTCGATACTACTGCCTATCTCGTATTCGAAACGGACCGATTGAAATTCCGCCATCCGAGTGTGGTTAAACGCCGTGGCTTCTGCTATCTTCAGCTATTAGCTGTCTAATGCCATGTGTAAGCTCAGCTGTTCTTGAATTCTTAATTCGCGTGGAAAATAGTCTTACGTGTCCAATCTCAATTCCATCCGTTGTAGTCTAGTCGGATAGGACATTCGATTCTCACCCGGATGACCCGGATTCAAGTCTTCAACGGAAGGTGAAACAAGTCTTGTTATGCTTCCCTTGGCCCTCTCTCATCGCCTCTAAAGTACCAGTATGAATAGAAGTAATGCTTCTTGCAGATGCTCACTGGATATGAAAACTAGCTCATGTTTTCTAATGGAACAGCACAATGCACGAGGGATGATCAACGCAATACTCAATCCGCACGCTATACTGGTATAACCATAAGCTTGACCAATGCACAGATAGATTAGTGCTTAATCTTTTGATTATGGCTGGATTGGAGTCCCGTGACAAAGCACAAGAAATTGTGTCGGAAGAGTGAAATTTATATTTCCCAGTGCTATTGAACCCGCAAATGCAGGGCAGGAAATTTTCCATTAATCGTGAGGCTATCACAACAAATGGGCAGAACCTCCATAACGAGCCAACAAGTCCAGCTCATGAGAATTAAAAGTCCTCGTGAGACCAGTCATAACCACCTTCCACTGCAGACGGGGTTTCCTGCACCGACAGCTGTAACACTAGAACCCTGAAACCCGGAGAAACCGAAATACACACGCAAAACCGCCAAAAACCCTCCTGAAAGCTCGCAGCAGCAGCTGAAAGCCTGCTGTGACGCCAGCTCACATCCAGGCCAGGACTTTCAAGAGTAACAGTCCTCATGACGAGATGCCGAAAGATCGGAACACTTGACGAGCCCTCTTCTTCGACATCGGCCACTGTGACGCCTCGAGTCGCCGAAGACCGTCGGCACGACGAAGTCTTCAACTAACGAATCCGTCGAGCTGGAAAACTGGCACATCTCACGCGATCCGCCACCAATCCTCTTCCCCCAACAAGCAAACGAAAAACATACGCAGAACTCCGTAAAACCCCAAGTCTACTCAGCAGTAAAAACCGAAAATAGGCAGCTGATGGAAGAGAAAGGTAGACGCGGATTGAAGACATTGAGATGCGGCAGAAGTGAGCGTTGAAGCGATGAAGCGTAGCTAGGAAGACGAAGCTTCCTCACTGCGCCACCTGAGAGCAGTCACGGGCGATGTGGCCGGGCTGGTTGCACGTGTAGCAAGTACGGGGAGCACCGCTACCGGCGCCGCCGCCCATGCCGGGCGTGGGGCAGTCGCGGGCAAGGTGCCCGGGCATGTTGCAGTTGTAGCACGCACCGGGTCCGCCGCCGAACCGTCCGCCGCCGCGGCCGCCGCCGAAGCGTCCACCGCCACGGCCGCCGAAGCCGCCGCCGCCGAAGCGGCCGCCACCGCCGCCGTAGCCGTCGCGCCTGGGAGCGCCCTTCACGTAGGAGCCAGCCGGGCCGGTAACGTTAACGGCCTTGGTGCGGCCGTCCTCGCTGGTCTCGATGGTGAACTCAACGACCTCGTTCTCGTCGAGGCTGCGGAAGCCCTCCGCCTTGATGCTCGTCTGGTGGACGAAAAGCTCCTCTCCGCCATCATCGGGAGTAATGAACCCGAAGCCCTTGGTGCTGTTGAACCACTTTACCTTGCCGGTCTGAACGCCGGGGGTAGCAGCGACATCGGAAGCAGCCATTGTCGAAAAGGTGAAGGGTAAGGTAAAGAGGGAAAGGTGGGATAGCTCTGAACAAACAAGGCTAGAAATCAAAGCCTGTGAACGAGAGTGAAGATAATGAGAGCAGGTGGGGGGGTTTTCAAGTGCTGCGGGTGCGAGAGAAGGGAGGCGAGGAGCAGGCTTGGTTGGAGAGAACTTGGTTTGGAGGGCTCGGAAGAGAGGAATCACAGTCCATCCCACGGCTTTCCAACCAAGCCAATCTCAACGCTGTCGGGATCTGTTAGTCGCGTCTCGTACCGAAGAGGAAACAGTTCCAAAATAAACTGAGATTAGATGCCTTATCAAGATGAGCGGTTCGATTCTATGGATCTGGTATCTCCTCTTCGATGAAATCTTGTGAACCTCTTCCCGCCACTTTTCCTGTGGTTGGAAGTGGGTGCACCCCTCCGCAAAACCCCGGGGTTTCTGAACAATGGGTTTCGTGCTGCTCGGAGGTACTCTTCCTGCGTCCTCGACATCTAGTCCTCTGCATGTGATGTCGGTTGGGTGCACATAAAAGGGCAACCTGCGGAGATATTTTTTGTCGCCGTGGCTTCCCCAGATTCTTTCATCTATTATGTGCCGTCAAATTACTGACCTGTGAAGATCCAACGGCAGGTCAGTGACGGATGAACTTTTATCGGCCAACCCAAACATTACGACTGGCTCGATGTCAGGCATATCTCGGTACAATCGCATCGCACTAGTCTGCCCATGCCAGCATGCAAAGCAGCAACCCTACGCTTCTCCTCACCGCTCCGCCTCAGCTAATCTGGGGAGGCAAAAGAACTAGAGTTCTAAGGGCGGGGTGCATCATGCTGAAAATGCATGATCGCCCCCTGATCGCGATGCTAGTACCGCAACCCTGAGGAATCCGGTGGGGTTGGGAGTGCTCGGGGTCCCATGCGACCCGACGGCACCCCCCCATGATGCACTGTTCGCAATTTTGCAGTCTCGATCCCCAGCCACCAATCAGACGCAGTCAAGGCGTCGCATGTAGAGTGTAGTTTCAAAGTTGTTTACATAACTTTTATCGTTCGTACCTCGCTCACGTTTCGTTTCGTCGTTAAACGACGAAGTATTTCTCGCAAACAAGGATCGGTGTGCACGTGGTGCACCTTCAACCCTTGATCGCGTGGGATCGCAGGCCCTCAGATCCCGCGTGGTCGAGGGTAGTTGGGTGGTTGGCGTCGCGATCCCCAAGGGTCGTGGTGCAGCATCACTACAGTAATCACTGTACACAAACGGCAAAACTTTGTATCAAGGATCGCTTGGGATCGTGATCCTGCAAAACAACATAATGCACCCACCCTAAAACTTCCCAGTCAAACCCCAATACCTTGTGGAATGAACCAAAATTGTACACCCAACATTGTGTGGACCACCTGCCCGGAAAGGTAACCCACGAACACTCCATACCGGATCACCTTGACTGCTTCGTGCCTGGACCAAACCTGCAAACACCAAACCGAGTGTCTTGGTGTGAGAAGCAATTGAGATTTTTGCCCTCCCTAGTTCTACCACTGGATTCTCTTTCCCCATTCTTTTTCTCCAGCAGGATTTCGCTTCTGTTGGGTTTTGGAGTTCACCGCTCCTAACAGCAGTTAGGAGACGTGGTTGCATCAAGAGTAACAACCACGAGTGGAGTTGGAAGTTGTAGCACCAGTGTCAGATTAAGACGCAGAGGCTGCCTGCTCTATTTGGGTGAAGTTAATATCGCGAAGCACAACCTTTCGCCATGGCGGCCAATGACGTTGATGCAGCCGCAGCCCCAGCTGCAGCGGGTGGCGTTCAAACCGGAAAGGTAAGAACTCCCTGATGTTCAACCTTACGAAGATTATCAGTACGGGATATTTCTGTTGCGATGTTCCGCTGCCGTGGTTCGCCGGAAGTAAGATGACGGCGCGATGTGACGTTTTGATTTTTTCACCTTTTCTTTTTCCGATGCACATCGGAATACTCGTTTAGATCTGGGGGGTCGCTCAGCTGCACCTGCTGCTTTAGTGAACTCTCGCGTGAATCCTTGCTCCTCAGCGACAGCCGTATTTCTCGAGGGTTTATCGTCAGGTACTGGTAGCTTTACTACACCATCAACATGGACTGGGTGATTATTCGTATCAGATGTCACACTCTTTCTAACTTACAGGCATGGGATTCGCCGCTGATTAAAGTATTTGGCGCGCGTGGGGGGGTCTACAAGTATATTCGGGTTTTAATTGACCTCTTACCTTTTTCATTCTAACAGCATTAAGGACCTCCAAGGCCAGCCTGTTCTCAGTCTCACATTGTCCTTAGCATGTTAACCTTCATCAAGTGCTTCCTGGGTCAGATTCGAATCTTTTTCTAGCCTGACCGTCGTTTCTTCTCTCGTCCTTCCAGAGTTGATTCACCAGTACCAAGAAATTCGGGTTTTCTTGCGTTCTACGATGTCAGCAAGGATCTCATGTGTTCGTAACGAGAATCAAACCTGAAGGATTCAGTCGCTAGATCCTTAGTGAATCGATCTCATGTACTCTCCCTTCGAGAAACGGTTCACCAGCACCAGGGGGTTGAGGCTCACCGCGTTCTACAACGTCAGGCAGGAGGATCTCCTTCACCCCCACCCGAGAACCAATCTCGAGGGTTCTCGAAGCTAGATCCGACCTGATCCGACCATTTTCCGAACCTCATTCAAATCGCTCCTGAACCTCTTCCGAACCTGGTCGTGCAGGTGAAGTGGTTCCACAGCACCAAGGGCTTCGGGTTCATCACCCCGAACAACGGCGGCGAGGATCTGTTCGTCCACCAGACGAGCATCAAGGCGGAGGGCTTTCGCAGCCTGGACGAGAACGAGGATGTCGAATTCACCATCGAAACCAATCCCGAGGATAGTCAAACCTAGACTCGACCTGATTTGTCCATTTTCTGAACCTCTCCCTTACCTCTCCCGAACCTGCAGGTGAAGTGGTTCAACAGCACCAAGGGCTTCGGGTTCATCACCCCCAACGACGGCGGCGAGGATCTGTTCGTCCACCAGACGAGCATCAAGGCGGAGGGCTTCCGCAGCCTGGATGAGAACGAAGACGTCGAATTCACCATCGAGACCGCCTCTGACGGCCGCACCAAGGCGATTAACGTCACCGGGCCCGGCGGCGCGTTCGTCAAGGGCGCCCCGAGGCGGGACAACTATGGCGGCGGTGGCGGGTACGGCGGCGGCGGGTATGGCGGCGGCGGTGGCGGGTACGGCGGAGGCGGGTATGGTGGCGGGGGGTATGGCGGGGATTTCGGCGGGGCTGGAGGATATGGGGGTGCGGGCGGGTACGGCGGGGGGTATGGCGGAGGACGCGGGGGGAGGTCCGGGGGGAGAGGCGGGGGTGGTAACTGTTACAGCTGCGGGATGCCTGGGCACATGGCGAGGGATTGCCCCCAGGGCCCGTCTGGTGGCGGAGGTGGTGGGGGAGGAGGGCGTTCCTGCTACACATGCGGTCAGCCTGGGCATATTGCGAGGGACTGCACCTCTGGCGGGCAGTAGTGTGATGGTGTGCTTATAAGGAGGCTGGAGTAAAGGGGTGGTGCTTCTGGCTTGTGCGGTGTAGCCAGAAGGGGGTGTGCATACGTGCATTGGATAAATTTCAATGTGCTATGGGCTAAAGGTGATGGGGTGTTGTTGGTTACTGTCAATTAGTGAATGCATGTCAATGCGTGTATTTGCTGCTGCAGTAGATGGTTCTTACTGAAGTGTCTTTCTTCTGGTGCTGCTGGTACTCTCAGAGTACACCATTCAGTCTCATAAGCTACATTTGGAACGACTGGTTTCTAGTCCAAATATTGGAAGACTAAATTGGACATACCATATGTAAACCACATCATTGTACGAGAACTGGTGCACCGCCTTCGCATGTGGTGTAGTTCGTTTGTATGGATGATTTCCGTACCCTAAACATTATGATAATTTTTGAAAGTGTAATGAAATGTAACACTTTCTAAAATTTTGTATTGTGAAAAGGGGTACGTGGCCAACACAGCAAAGGTAGCGCCGAAGCGCTACTCACCCTCTTTTGCCTACAAAAGAGGGACGTGGGGACATTCGTCCCCACCCACGTTTTCATTTTCAAAATTGTAGTTCTAATTTCGTTCTCGTCCACACTGGCGAAGACTCAGTCGCTTCCGCGTTTCACTGCCCCATCAACGCTCCTTAACGACATCCTTAAGCGCAACCTCGCAACGATGGCTCCGGTCAACCCGGCACTTAACCGCGACAATTCGAATAATTCTAGCCCCGGTAACGCGGCGGAAACCTCGACTCCGGCCGTGACAACGGATCGTCGCGGCGGAAAACGTCCCGCCGAGGAAATTTCAAGCGAGGGACCCTCGGCGGTCGACCTCCTGCTCGGAGGCACCCTTCGGACCCCCCATGAGGAACGCGCGACTGTTGTACAGTCGCGCGTGGCTGCTGCTGAAGAGCGCGTGCCTGGCAGGCACGCGCGTGCTGCGCAGAAGACGACGACCGCCGCTGACGCGGCGGTCGTCTTGACCGGCGCTGACGCGGGTCCATCCGGGCCCACGACCCAGAAACTCCAGCGCGCGGCACCCTCCGCTGACGTCACCCCGGTCAACGCCGCCCCCACCCCTTTGACCGCGCAGCAACTACAGGCGCTGCTCTCGTTATTGTAGCAGCACGCACCGTCGACTGCAGCTACATCAGCTGAAGAAATTTCTGCGTCAGCTAAAATCGAAAAGCAGAAGGAACCTGTCGCGGCTCCCCGCTCCACCAAAATCGCTCGCACCAACAACGCTGCTCCTGCTCCCGCCCCAGCTCCGGCACCAACCCAAGCCCGTATCCCCGACGACAGCGACGACTTAGAAAATGAAGACGGTGAGGCCCCCGACAAACTTGCCCGTCGTCGCATTCTCGCACCCGCACCTCCCCTTCCCCCCCTCAACCCTTCACCCGCAGCTACTACCTTCATGCGCAAGGGAGTGCGTGACCAGGCGGAGGTGTT